GACCCAATTCTTTAAGACACTCCTCATCTCTCTTTTCTCTTAGGCGATTTCTCATTGTCCAAGTAGGATTGTCTTCCAAGATTGGTGTACTGGTGGTGGGTCCGTAGGTGACTGTGGAGCACAATTCTTGACCTGCATCTTCTCCCGCAGTGAGAGCATTGGCTTCCAGGTGGAAGGCGGTCCCAGTTGGGGTTGGCTTCCACCTGGCATGTTTCTCTCTTTCACCCTCCATTCATGCCTCTTCAAATTCTACAGCACTGCTGGTCACAGCTGACCTCCAGCTGGAGTCCTCAAGGTCCAGGGCTTCCCAGTTCTCAGTGTCTATGCCAGAGTTTTTAAGGCTGGCTTTGAGCCCATCTTTAAATCTCTTTTCCTTTCCACCAACATTCTGTTTTCCGTTCTTGACTTTGGAGTAGAGCAACTGCTTTGGGAGACGGTGGTCGGACATCCAGACAATGTGGCCGGTTCAGAGGAGTTGATGGTGGAGAACTACGCTTCAGTGCTGGTGATCTTTGCTTCTTCCAGCTCGCTGACATTTGTCCGCTTGTCTTCCCAACAGATTTGTAGGATTTTTCAGAGGCAGCGCTGATGGAATCGTTGCATGTGACATCTGTAGATAGTCCACGTCTCGCAGGCGTATAGCAAGGTTGGAAGGACAATAGCTTTATAAACAAGCATCTTGGTATCCCTATGGATGTCCCAGTCCTTAAACACTCTCTGCTTCATTCGGAAACATGCTGCGCTCGCAGAGCTCAGGTGATGTTGTATTTCAGTGTCAATGTTGACTCCTTATAGGGAGTCATAGTCTCCAGATCTTTGATCATTTCAGTCACCCTCCTCTGAACATCTTTCAACTTAAATTGTTTTCCCCAGAACAGGAGTTATTATTCCAAGGAAAGAGATCTGACCAAAGCAGAAGAGAGAGGCATCATGATTTCTCTTGATAGTAGACCCTATCCTCCTTTGGATGCAGCCCAGAATCTCATTGGCTTTTTTAGCTGCTGCATCACATTTCTGGCTCATGTTCAACTTGTTGTCCACCAAGACTCCAAAATCCCTTTTGCATGTGACTCTGTTGTGGAGACGGGCATCACCCAAACTGTATCTGAGCATTTCATTTTTTCTGCCTAAGTGTGGTATCTTACATTCCTCCTTGTTGACATATATTTTGTTAATTTTGACCAATCAGCTTTCTAATCTGTGAAGGTTGCTTTGGATCCCAATCCTGTCTCCTGTACTATTTGCTCTCCCTCCCAATTTGATTTGCTTGTCCCCTAAACCTTCAACCAAGTCATTAATAAAAAAATTTATGCCAGTAGCAACTTGAGAAACTTGAGAATTGGCCATCTGCAAGGACATTGCTCAGGGGACACGTAGATGTTTTATGTTTTACCATCCACGTGGGAGGCTTCTCTCATGCCCCCACATGGCGAGCTGGAGCTGACAGAGGGAGCTCAACCCGCTCCCTTTGAATTCGAACCGCTCACCTGATGGTCAGCAGTCTTACCGGCACAAGGGCTTAACCTATTTGTACACCCAAATAGTCACTTCTTTCCAGGATGAAGAAGAGGAGCCATTGGAGAGTAGCACTCTTTGGGTTTGGACACTTAAATCAGCCCCCCACACTCACAGGTTTACTGTGCTAAACAGTGAGCCAACACATCAGGTACATTCTCTTGGGTCCTATTCTGGGAGAAAGGCAGCATACAGATGCAATGAACAAATAGAGTATATATATGAGTCTAAGTATGTATGTTTGTCTTTTTGGACCACAAAGGCTGTTGTTAGGTGAAGTGGCCCTCCGTGATGTCACTAGATGGGCTGTTACTCAATGAGGGATTTGGCTGTTGCTAGCTGGAGTGCCCCTCTGTGACATCCCTGGATTGGCTGTTGCTCGGCGAGTGACTGCCTATTGCTAGGTGGAGTGGCCCTCTGTGATGTCACTGGATTGGCTGTTGCTCGGTGAAAGATTTTGCTGTTGATAGGTGGAGTGGCCCTCTGTGACATCACTAGATGGGCTGTTGCTCAGCAAGGGATTGGCTGTTGCTAGGTGGAGTAGCCCTCTGTAATGTCACTGGATGGGCTGTTCCTTGGTGAAAGATTCACTGTTGCTAGGTGGAGTGGCCCTTTGTGACATCACTAGATGGGCTGTTGCTCGGTGAAAGATTTCACAGTTGCTAGGTGGAGTGGCCCTTCATGGTTTCGCTCATGACATCATTGAGGTGCTCAAGCTCCAGCGCCACAACAAGGCGGTGATCCTTTGCTGCTTCATTGACTATTCTAAAACCTTTGACTGTGTGGATCATAATAAATTGTGGCAAGTTCTTGGTGGGATGGGCATACCAAGCCACTTTGTCTCTCTCCTGAGGAATCTGTACAAGGACCAAGTAGCAACAGTCAGAACTGACCACGGAACAACAGACTGGTTCAAGATTGGGAAAGGCGTACGGCAAGGCTGCATACTCTCACCCAACCTTTTTAACTTGTATGCAGAACATCATGCGAGGATGTGCGGGGCTGGATGAATGCAAAGCTGGGGTGAAAATTGCTGGAAGAAACATTAACAACCTCAGATATGCAGATGACACCACTCTGATGGCCGAAAGCGAGGAGGAGCTGAGGAGCCTTCTAATCAAGGTGAAAGAAGAAAGCGCAAAAGCCGGGTTGCAGCTAAACATAAAAAAAACCAAGATTATGGCAACAAGAATGATTGACAACTGGAAAATAGAGGGAGAAAATGTGGAGGCCGTGACAGACTTTGTATTTCTAGGCGCAAAGATTACTGCAGATGCAGACTGTGGCCAGGAAATCAGAAGACGCTTACTTCTTGGGAGGAGAGCAATGTCCAGTCTCGATAAAATAGTAAAGAGTAGAGACATCACACTGGCAACAAAGATCCGCCTAGTCAAAGCCATGGTATTCCCTGTAGTCACCTACGGATGTGAGAGCTGGACCTTAGGGAAGGCTGAGCGAAGGAAGATCGATGCTTTTGAGCTGTGTGCTGGAGGAAAGTTCTGAGAGTGCCTTGGACTGCGAGAAGGTCCAACCAGTCCATCCTCCAGGAAATAAAGCCCGGCTGCTCACTGGAGGGAAGGATACTAGAGACAAAGTTGAAGTACTTTGGCCACATCATGAGGAGACAGCAAAGCCTAGAGAAGACAATTATGCTGGGGAAAGTGGAAGGTAAAAGGAAGAGGGGCCGACCAAGGGCAAGATGGATGGATGGCATCCTTGAAGTGACTGGACTGACCTTGAAGGAGCTGGGGTGGTGACGGCCGACAGGGAGCTCTGGCGTGGGCTGGTCCATGAGGTCACGAAGAGTCGGAGACGACTGAACGAATGAACAACAACAAGGTGAAGTGGCCCTCTATGACGTTACTAGATGAGCTGTTGCTCAGTGAGGGATTTGGCTGTTGCTAGGTGGAGTGGCCCTCTGTGATTTCACTGTATAGGCTTTTGCTTGGTGAGAAATTTTGCTGTTGCTAGGTGGAGTGGCCCTCCGTGCCATCACAGGGTTGACTTTTGCTCAGCAAGGGATTACCTGTTGCTAGGTGGAGTGGCTGTCTGTGACATCACTGGGAAAGCTGACATGTGTATGAGGGGAAGGGAGAAAGGATGGAAAGAACCACAATGAGAGCCATGTTGCCATGGAGATATGGTGAAGTAGAGCTGGAGAAAGAAAGAGGAAAAGAGGAAAGGAGAAAGGAGGGAGGGAGAAAGAAAAAGGAGAGAAGGCAGAGAAAGAAATGAGGGAAAGGAAGGAGAAAAAGAAAGGAAGAGAAAGGAATGAAAAGAAAGAAGAGAGGAAGGTGTATGAGGGAAAGCAAGGGAAGGAAGGAAAGAAAGAAGGAAGGGGAGAAGGAGAAGTTGTATGGAGGAAAGACATTTCTACAGAGACATTGTGAGGCAGGCCTTCTCAGAGCTGGAGAAGGGAGAAAGTAGGTAAGCAGTGGTCCCAATGACACCCAGGCAACACGAGATATATATGCGATTAATACTAATTTTAAAATGGATTTTGCAGGCCTGGGTCTATCACACCCTCTCCTTCCACAGTTGCCCGTCTCTTCAGTCGAACAGCCTCGATAGCATCAATTCCTACATTTTGTAAAAGTGAATTCCAATGACACACACACAAAAAAAAAAAAAGATTTTAAAAAACCAGACCGGCAAAAGAGCAAAATCTATTGCTTTTATTTTTTTCCTTTTTTAAAACAAGCTTGAGGTAGTTGTTGTGTTAAGAAGGAAAAAAAAAACCACAATAGCGAATAGAGCAGTACAAAGGCTACACTAAAACACACGCGACTAAATTTTGTCCCCTTTTTTCTCATATATAAAAATTAAATAATATAAAGATGCTCTGAGGAAATAAAAAATACATTGTTGTAACATTAAAAAAGGCGCGGGAGGGAGGGATCAATACCAAAAATATTAGGCGCAAGGACAGAAACGGTGCCGTTTGACCAGCGTCTGCTCTCCATTTGCTTGTGGTTGGATGGACATCCCTGCGATTATCACCATGCCATGATGACCCACGAGAGCTGGACAAGAGTTCCCTAATACACTATGTACAAGGGTTGAATGAAAAGTAATGCCTCCACCTCCTCAACAGATGGCAGTACTGGTATGCGGCAGGTACTGGCTTGTTCAGTAGACTCTCCTCTACAGTTCCATTTTAGCAGGAAACCTTAGCATTGAATGGTTGTGTTGTTAAAGTGCGAAGTATGGAACCCTGCGCAGACAGCCGGTCAATTTGACTTAAGCAATGTGCAGTCATTGAATTGTTGACAGCAGAAGGTGTCACCCCAAAGGAGATTCATCAGAGAATGCAATGTTTATGGTGATTGTGTTGATGTGAGTACTGTGCATCGTTGGACGAGTAAATTTAAAGATGTTGAGGTGACACTTTCTGCTGTCAAGAATTCAGTGACTGCACGTTGCTTAAGTCACATTGACTGACCATCTGCACAGGGTTCCATACTTTGCACTTTAACAACAAAACCATTCAATGCTAAGGCTTCCTGCCAAAATGGAACTGTAGAGGAGAGTCTACTGAACAAGCCAGTACCTGCCGCATACCAGTACTGCCATCTGTTGAGGAGTTATGAAGGTGCAGACATTATTTTTCATTCGACCCTCATATAAGTTGTTGGAAATGCTCTTAGACTCAACCTTCCAAGGCTAAGTGAGTTGTGTGTTCAAATTCCCCCGTTAACACAAACCTGTGAGTAGAAAGTTAGCCATGCCAAGCTAGATGGACTCTATCTCAAGTCAGGGATGATGGGCTCTCTGTTTTGCACTGGAAAGGGGGTTGGACTGGATGGCCTTTGGGGTCTCTACCATCACACAGAACCCACTCCTCAGGTTTCAAACTTGGGATTGGATCCACACCAAACAATGATAACAATCCCATGCCACTTTAACTCCCATGGTTCTAACCTATCTTGGCATTTGTACCTTGCTAATGAGAGACTTGCAAAGTCCGCTCTCATAGAATATTAGAATCATAGAATCATTGAGTTGGAAGAGACCTCATGGGCCATCCAGTCCAACCCCATTCTGCCAAGAAGCAGGAAAATAGCATTCAAAACACACCCAACAGATGGCCCTCCAGCTTCTGTTTAAAAACCTCCAAAGAAGGAGCCTCCACACACTCTGGGGCAGGGAGTTCCACTGCTGAACAGCTCTCACAGTTAGGAAGTTCTTCCCAATATTCAGTGGAATCTCTTTTCCTGCAATTTGAAACCATTGCTCTGTGTCCTAGTCTCCAAAGCAGAAAACAAGGACACTTCAGCATGGAATTCTGATTATCTTTTGAAACTACAAGTCCCGGGGTTCCATTTGACATAGCCCCAGCAGTTAAAGCAGTCTCAGAGTGCTTTGTTGCACAATGTAGATCTAGCCTTGGAATAGCTTCTTCTATCTCAGTCCTACTGAATTCATGGATCTGGGATGAACCGTGCACCTCTGGGCTACAATGCAAGAGGAGCACACAATCCAAGCACTCCCAGCAGATAGCCATCCAGTTTCTGCTTTAAAACCTACAGAGGGGACTCAACTGGACTCTGAGACAGCAGCAGATTCCATTACTGAACAGCATTTGTTGTGCTAATGTTTAGGAGGAATCTTTTACTCCACTGCTCTGTGTCCTAGTCTCTGGAGCTTGGTCCATATTCATGCCCATTAGTGCCGTGGTTCCACTTTAACTGCCATGGCAACATCCTACAGAGTTTGTCATTACAGTAATTCTTCCAAAACTCCACCACTCCTGATCCCACAATGTGGCACCATGGCAGTCAAAACAAAATCATAACACTCTAGTTGTGCCATCTGAAAGGGTCAAAACTCCATCGCTCCTATTCCCTTAATGTGGCACCATGACAGTTAAAGCGGAATAATAACACTCTAGTTGTGCCATGTGAAAGAGTGACAGCACTGCAATGGGTGGTCAGGTTGGCACCCAGTGGACCTTGCCGCACATTTCTTGCCACACCTACTCCATGCCTTACACCTCCTTGGTTTGCTCAACGTTTGGTATCTTCTCAACTCTTTCATGTAGACCAGAGAGGACTCAAAGGTGAAGGACAGCCTTTGGGGTCCCCAAGCAATGAGAAAACACTCACAAGTGGGCAGGGAATACAAAAACAATGAAATAAGGGAGGCACTTTTGTATCCCCTTGTCTTCCAAACCACGAGTTACTGTTTAGTACCACGGGAAGGCTATGCCTTACTTCATTATGTTACTTCTAGCTCTGTGGTAGCCAAGAGTACAGTCAGTGTGGTCTTCAAAGATGGTGGACACATGTCATGTTCTCAAAACCGGCAGGCGAGCTGCAAATTAGGGCCCGAGACTGTCCCATGGGGAAAGCGTCCTGCAGGATGGGCTCCTTGTTCCCTCCTTGGAGGGTGTCAGAGTCCCCAAATTGCCCTGAATCTAGGCTTTCATCCATCCTGAAGAAGCCAGAAGTGGCTGTCTCGAGCAATTCGGTGGCCGCCTGGCAAGTCTGCTGGTCAGTACCCTGCCAAGAAGCAGGGATCTCAGGTTCGTGCTTGTCTTCTCCATCCTTGCCTAGATTGTCCTTCAAGGAGTTGGGTGAAGACTCTAGAGTGAGGTCTTCCACAGGCAAGGATTCGAGGCTTTGGTCCTCAGGAAGCGTCCCCTCCATCTCCTCTGTGGGAAGCCGGGAGACGTCACCTCGGTGTGAGGCGGAGAAGTCGGAATGGACAATCACCTCGGCTTCCATCTGGTTGAGGCTGCTAGGAACGTGCTCCTTGTTCACTTCATTCTGCATTGATACACGTAAGAAAAGAAGTAGGGAAGGTGCATGAAATAGTCCCAGAAAAATAAACATTATTTATATTTATATTCCATCTCCTCAAAGGGACTCAAGACTTGTAACACAGGCCTACCCGGGGAAGGGAGAGTCGGACGCTGCTTTAACGATTGGGGCAACATGAGTAATTGCATCTCTATGTTCTATGTTCTCCATGAAAGTTTCCCTCAGTCACATAATAGACTACTTACTACAATGCAGTCTGAGCCTCACAACATGCACAATGGAGGACCTTCTGACAGTGACACCAGAAGCACTCAAAGTAGCCAGTTTCTGGTCAAATGAAATTTAGTATAATGCCAAGTTTTTAACTTTAACATGTCAGCTAAATAGTTCTACACCTAAGTCTATTGTATCATCAAAGACATAGAGGGGGAGGGAGTATCTTTATACATATTTCAACCCTGCTATATGCCTGCGAAACATGGACTGTCTACATCACACTCAATTCCTGAAACGATTCCATCAGCATTGCCTCTGAAAAATCCTGCAAATCTCTTGGGAAGACAGGCGGACAAATGTCCCCCTGTCTTCCAGCAAAGACCACCAGCGATGTTCCTATGCCATCAACTCTGCTGGACTGAAGGCCACGTTGTCTGAATGTCTGATCACCATGTCCCAAAGCAGTTACTATACTCCAAACTCAATAATGGGAAACATAATGTCGGTGGACAGGAAAAGAGATTTAAAGATGGGCTTAAAGCCAATCCTAAAAACTGTGGCATAGACACCAAGAACTGGGCACTCTGACCCTTGAGTGCTCTAACTGGAAGCCAGCTGTGACCAGCAGTGCTACAGAAATCGAAGAGGCATGAATGGAGGGCGAAAGGGAGAAACGTGCTAAGAGGAAGGCGTGTCAAGCCAACCCTGACCGGGACTGTGTTCCACTAGGATCCCAATGTCCTCACTGTGGAAGAGCATACAGGTCAAGAATAGGGCTCCACAGTCACCTACGGACCCACTGCCAAGACACTATACTTGCAGGATCATCATAACCGGCTGTGCTTTTTATTTAATTTTAGTTGTTAAGTTATAATTCATGTTTATCTGTTGGGTTGTATATTTTTTTGTTAGTATTGATGTATTGTTGTTCTATTCGGGCATTGAATGTTTACCTTTTATGTTTGAGTCCCTTTGGGGAGATAGAGCGGACTATAAATATATTATTATTATTATTATCATTATTATTATTATCATCATTATTATCATTATTATTATGATCCTTGGGCTATGAGAGATCGCCTAACTATTCTTTAGTAAAGGAAGGAAGAGAAGTAAAAGAGAAAAAAGTTCTAACTTTGACATCTTTTCTAACAAGAGTAACCAATTGTCATTCCGAATCTGCACTAGTTTCTTTTATCTTCTTTTATTGTTCCTTCTTCTCTTCCGACTCTGCATAATATTCCTTCTCCTTATTTTATCCATTACCTAATTTCTACTCTTGATGGCAGTCAACTATCTACATATCTTAAAGTTCATTTCTTTTGTGGGTAGATTAGTAATATACATGTAAATATTTATTTTAATTATCTATCATTCATGTAGGATCTACACAGAATAAATCCTCTTATATAAATGTATATATCTATGGCATCAACCTTCTTAAAGTTAACTTCTTATTCTCATTCCCTCCACATTTGCTAAAAGAGTCACTTTTTTCTTCTTCTTTGGCCTTTCCCAATCCAATGTTCTCCAGATATTTTGGACTACAACTTCTATCAGTCTTGAACTGCTGAGCGTTACAGGACGATGCCTCTGGAGACCAGCAGGTTGGAGAAGGCTACCATGTCTGTGCCAAACACCCTGCTTATTGGACTTGCCCACCTCCAGGATTGATCTCTGATTTCTTTGCTGTTTAAGAAGGTTTGGGAGTCCATGTAGCTTCTGAAAAGTCCTGGGCCAACCACTGGTCTGGAACCAGTTGCAGTTGTCCATCCCATGGTTATGTTTCAGTTCTCTGAGATGCAGAATCCATGACTTCTCTCCATTCACCCTGATTCAAAAACTGTAGGGGACTCTAAGACCTAAGTATAAGGCTACAAGAATCCTTGAAAGAAATAGTGGGTCTGCTTTTCCTATTCTGAACAGAAGAGCCTTTCTGCTCTGAACACCTACCGCAACCACCTCGTAAACCAAAGCTTGCAATAAGAGCTTCTGTCCCCCGTTGGGTGCCATTTTCAGTGATCCGTTCAAAGTCACGGTCGACTCTTTAGGAACCGTGTCTCCATAGTTGACCATGGTGTTTGCCCAGCTGTTCAGTGATTTCTCCCAAGGAGGCTGCAAAAAAGGGGAAAAGGAGAAAGAAGGATTTGTTATGGGTGCTGCTTGCTTGTATTATAATAGCTAAATCTGTGTACAAAGCAATGCCAGGTTTTCTGCCCACTTTCATCCATAGCTGCCCAAGGATACCAGGTGCTCCCATTTCTGGCATCTGACCATAATAAAAAGGAGCCCCCGGTGGCACAGTGGGTTAAAGCTCTGTGCCGGCAGGACTGAAGACCGACAGGTCGCAGGTTCGAATCCGGGGAGAGGCGAATGAGCTCCCTCTATCAGCTCCAACTCTTCATGCAGGGACATGAGAGAAGCCTCCTACAAGGATGATAAAACATCAAATCATCTGGACGTCCCCTGGGCAACATCCTTGCAGATGGCCAATTCTCTCACAACAGGAGAGTCGCTCTTGACACTACCAAAAAAAAAAAACCATAATAAAAAGAAGCCAAGGCTTTTGTTGAAGATGACCTTCTGGGCAGTCGAAGGGAAAGACAACAACAACAACAGCAACAACCAAACAAGAAAACTGATGACAATCCACTATTCGTTACACCCGTGTAGTGATGTTGACAGACTTTACCTGCCCAGAAAATCAGGAGGCAGAGAGAGTGAAACAAATGGTAGAGGAAGAGCAGATTATGTGAAAGGCAGTTAAGAACCAACATTGAGGGAAGTCAATAGTAGAAAACTGCTTAAAGTGCAAGAGACAATGAGAGAATACCGTAAAAATACAATACAGAGAAGAAAAGAAAACTGGCAAAAGAAGGCTCTCCATGGACAGTTCCTAGGAAAAATTGAGAGCCAAATTGACAAAAAAAAAACAAACATGGCTGTGGCTCACAAATGGAACTTTGAAAAAGGAGACAAAGGAGGGCCTGATTCTGGCAGCCCAAGAACAAGCCACTAGAACCAATGCCATCAAAGCCAGAATTCAAAAGTCGACAACAGATCCCAAGTGTAGACTCTGCAAGGAAGCAGATAAAACAATAGATCACATCCTCAGCTGCTGCAAGAAGATCGGGCAGACAGACTACAAGAGAGGCAGAACACCGTTGCTCAGATGATCCATTGGAACTTGTGCCACAAATACCATTGCCTGCAACAAAGAACTGGTGGGATCACAACGTGGAAAAGTTATGGAAAATGAACTACTCTAGGACTTCTGAATTCAGACTGACAGAGTTTTGAAGCACAAGACTCCTGACCTCACAATCATGGAAAAAAACAAAGTATGAATAATTGATGTTGCAATCCCAGGTGAAAGCAGGATTGATAAGAAACAACTGGAAAGGCTGACATGATATGATGATTTAAAGATTGAACTGCAAAGACTCTGGCACAAGCCAGTCAAGGTGGTCCCAGTGGTGATCGGTATACTGGGTGCAGTGCTTAAAGATCTTGGCCTGCACTTAAACACAATTGGCACAGGTCATTCCACAGCCTTGGGAAGCCAATGAAAAGGTCCTCTGGGTGACAATTCTGGCTGGTTGGAGTAACTGCCCCCCAGAGAACCTCAGTGTGTGGGGCAGATTTTATGGGAGAAGGCTACCCTGGAGGGAACATGGACCCAAACCATGTAGGGCTTTAAAAGTCAAAACCAATACATTGTACATACTTTGCTTAGAAACTAATTGGCAGCCAGTGGAGTGACTTTAGGATCAGCGCGATATGCTCACTCCTAGACGTTCCTGTAACCAGTCTGGCTGCCATAATTTGAAGCAGTTGGAATTGTCAATCTTAGTCCAAGGGTAGCCCAATATAGAGTGCATTGCAGAAGTCCAGCCTTGAGGTGACCAGCAGGTGCATTACCATCTTTAGGTCTTCCAAATCTATGAAGGGGTACAGCTAGTGGATCAACCAAAGTGGATAGTAAGCCCTCCTGACCATTGTCGCATCTCCCTGGGCTGATATTTGGAGAGACAGATCCAGGAGAATCCCAATATATGTGTTTTCCTCATCCAGCCCATGACCTCCTCCAGGCATTCATTCAGATGAGACATGCTATCTGGCCAGGGTGGTCCATGCCTTGGTCACCTCCAGATTGGATTACTGCAATGCGCTCTACGTGGGGCTGCCCTTGAAAACGGCTCAGAAGTTCCAACTGGTCCAACGAGCAGCAGCCAGGATGTTAACTGGGGCCCCTTACAGAGAGAGGTCAACCCTCCTGTTCAAGGAGCTCCACTGGCTGCCGTTTATTTTCCGAGCCCAATTTAAGGTGCAGGTGCTTACCTACAAAGCCCTGAACGGTTTGGGACCATCCTACCTGCGTGACCGCATCTCCATCTACGAACCCACGTGTTCACTTCGGTCATCTGGAGAGGCCCTGCTCGTGATCCCGCCTGCGTCGCAAGCGCGTTTGGTGGGGACACGAGACAGGGCCTTTTTGTGGTGGCCCCCCGACTCTGGAACACCCTCCCCAAAGATCTTAGACAGGCCCCTACATTGGCAGTCTTCAGAAAGAACTTGAAGACCTGGCTGTTCCGATGTGCCTTTCCCGATTAGGAAATCTCCAATACCAAGTCCCATAAGCACTTTATTAGAACTAAGATTGCTGCACATCGCACTCTGCACTTGCCCTATAAGCCTTATATACCACCCGTCACATCAGCACTTTTAATCCTGTACCCATTACTCTGGCCCGGCCCAGTTTTATTGTGTCTTAGTGTATTGTTTATTGCCTGTTGTTTATATTGCCTTAATTGTTTTTAATTTGCCTTAGGTTTTGTTTTGTTTTGTATTGTTATGTTATGTTGTGTGTTGAGGCCTTGGCCTTTGTAAGCCGCATCGAGTCCTTCGGGAGATGCTAGCAGGGTACAAATAAAGTTTAATAATAATAATAATAATAATAATAATAATAATAATAATAATAATGCTATCCTTAGCTGAGGCTGCTTTGGAAGGCATGGAGAAATATATTTGGTCATCATCAGCATACATCAGCATACATCAGCACACTCCACGTCATGCCTATGGATGATCTCTCCCAGCAGTTTCATGTAAATATGAAAGAGCATTGGGGATAGAATGGAACCTTGTGGGATACTATATAGCAGCTCCTTTTTGAAGGAGGAACTCTTCCCAAGTGGCACCATCTGGAACCTACCTGGGATGTAAGACTGGAAATATTGCAACACAGTGCCTCTGATGCCCAGCCCCCCCAGGCGTTCCAGAAGGATACCATGGTCGATGGTATCGAAGGCCCCTGAGAGGGCTAGATAAAGTAAGGCGAAAAAAGTTAAGAGTAGAGAAAGCATTCCTGGCACCTGGTAACCATGTTGTTACTCCTGGCCAGGATGCCCTTCTCTAACATGAGCCTGACCTTGGCTCAAGACAAGCTGACCTCCTTTCGGCAGCCCCCAAATGGAGGAACCAGATGTCACATTCCTGCCTTGACCTGCCATTTCCAGATGCAAAGGGTCAAGGAGGGCTCATCTTTTCAAGAGGGCTGAGGGCAAAGGGGAAGGGAGAAAGGTGATGACCTTGCAGGCAAATGTGCCACAGGCCAACTGTCCTAAGGCGTATCGGGGAACATAGGAACTTCAGAAGAGCCTGAAGTTCTGGGGCTGCTTTTATGCCATATACACTTCTTGGGAAGGAAGGGAGGGAGGGAGGGAAGGGAGGGAGGCAGGGAGGGAGGAACGAAGGAACAAAGGAGGAACGAAGGAAATTGTTGGGCTGGGTCAAGAATCCCATTTGAGCGCCACATGTAAATTCCTCTATGGAGATGGTTGCATGTATTTATTTGATGCAGAACAGATACATTCAATGGATGATTGTGGAAATGGATTTATACCACTTAGGTTCTCAAATAGGATGCAAAAAAAGAAGACTTCCTAAATGGTGATGGTGATGATGATGATGATGAAAATGAAAAGGTGATAAAAACCATTGATCATATCCTCAGCTGCTGCAAGAAAATCGCACAGATGGACTACAAACAGAGGCACAACTATGTGGCCCAAATGATTCATTGGAACTTATGTCACAAGTACCACCTGCCAATATTAAAGAACTGGTGGGATCATAAACCTGCAAAGTAGTAGAAAATGAACACACTGTGGGATGTTCAAATTCAGACTGACAAAGTTTTGGAACACAATACACCAGACCTCATGATGGTGGAAAAGAAAAATTTTAGAGTATTGATGTCGCCATAGCAGGTGACAGACGCAATGAGGAAAAACAACAGGAAAAACTCAGCCGTTATCAGGACCTCAAAATCGAACTGCAAAAGCTCTGGCATAAACCAGTACAGGTGGTCCCAGTAGTCATCAGCACTCTGGGTGCCATGCCAAAAGACCTCAGCTGGCATTTGGAAACAATAAACATCGACAAAATCAAGATCTGTCAACTGCAAAAGGCCGCCTTACTTGGATCTGAGTGCATCATTTGAAAATACATCACACAGTCCTAGACTCTTGGGAAGTGTTCTACTTGTGATTTTGTGATATGAAATCCAGCATACAGATCTTGTTTGCTGTGTCATACTGCGTTTCGTGTCAGAATAATAATAATAATAATAATAATAATAATAATAATAATAATAATTTTATTTCTTACCCACCCCTCCTTACGGTTCAAGGTGGGTGATTATTTTGCTAAAACACAATCATTACATAAAACACAATCATTATATAACACACACATATTCAAACAGAGGTCTACAAAATACACAGAACAAAGCTCTATTAATCTCAAGAGAAGAGCAAGACCAAAATATGTTTTGCAGGACATTGGGGCGACTGTGACCCAAATCCCGCGCTTGCAGCTGGAGAAATGGCTGCGGTTCATTTCCTTCCCGAAGGAACCTGCTGTTTTCGAAACACAGATGTTGATCTCCATCCCACATCTGTAGGGAAGGCCAAGCAGAGTCCCACTCCCAACAATAACAACAACTGGGATCCAATCGATTGAGAAGGGTTTATGGTGGGGAAGGAAATTAAAAGGGAAGCAAAGGATGAAAGCAATGCCTTTTTCACTGGGCGGACTGACGGGTGGAAATGGAAAACAGCAAGTTTTCCCCAGCTGTTTTCTTGCAGCTGCAACTGACCAGAGGAATATTAGAAAATCCCAGCCAGACTGGTTGAGGATTAGTTAATGCGTCAGAGGTGCCAGGACAAAAGAAACAAGTCTCCAGAGGCAGGATTAAACCAGTAGCCAAGCCAACTAGAAACAGGGGAAAGGAAGATCTGAAACAGAATATTCTCCTCATCCTTTGTTCAGATGCAACAAGGTTGTCCCAAGATATTAAGCCACCCAAGGAAGGAATACAAAGGCTGTGTGTATCCATGCCAGCTTGCATTGAATAGGATGCTGGATGGTAAGCAAGCTCTAATACAAAACTCATTGATCTAAACTGAAATATTTGGATTCAGGGCTCCAAATCTTCTGACCCTTTCCTATCAGTAAGAAAACACAATACCAAAAAGGAAAATAATAATTTGCAGTCCTCTAAAGGATGATGTCAGGGCAGCCATTTCACATTGCCTCATAGAAATGCCAGCCTTGGAATCCAAAATAAAATAACAAATACAATTATTATTATTATTATTATTATTATTATTATTATTATTATTTTACTGACATAAAAACACAGTATGTCACAGCAAACGAGATCTATATACTGGATTTCGTATCACAAAATCACAAGTCAAACACTTCCCAAGTGTCTAGGACTGTGTAATGTAGTATTATTATTATTATTATTATGTGTCACTTTTCATTCAGGTAGGAAAGAATACAGGTAAAATACACAGATAAAAACAAAAGACCATATGATAAAAGACCCAGACCAGAGATTCAATGTAGCTTTACGGAAAACAAATGCACAGGAATGTTTACCCTCTCTGTGGTTTTTGGTGAAAAGGAAGTTATTCATCCACATTTGCTCAGCACAGTTATACTGCGGAGATTCCCACTGAATGATCCAGGGATCCAGGGAGTTCTTCCTTCCTTTCCACAGTGAAGGAATAAACTGTGAATTTGCTTCCCTCTAGCGGCCGGTTGGGGGTGCGGATAACAGGTAAAGAAGCCAACTAACCCTTGCAACTTGGAGGAAAAATACAAAGACTCTCAATATTTTGGACTGCAACTCCCAGAAGCCTCAGCTGCTTTGGCCAATGATCAAGAGTTCTAGGCACTGCAGTCCAAAAGACCTGAAAGACCAGTGTTTGGGACGTACTTGCTTCTTCTACACATTCTGCTGGAGGAACCCCAGTTTTTGCTTCTTTGAGACTCCTGGGAAGCAACATTCAAGGAATCCTAACAGAAACTAAGAGAACTTTGAGAGAAATAACAACATTTCATAGTGTGTGCGCCACACCATCAAATATCAAACTTAAGAGAGATTTCCCAAGGAGAGAAGAGCAGAATGCGACCTGTATCCCTCCAAATTTGCCTAGATTCCTTCCTCAAACTATTGCAATTTCCTATAAAACAAAGGAATGAAAATCATGTGGGAAAATATCCATAGTTGCCCCTAGACATCTTCCAAAACTCTGCAAAACATCACTTGCAATAGCCCCCAAACCTTGAAAATCCCAGAAATCTTTACCAGAGACCACTTGTGATGGTAATTTGTTGTACACACAAATAGATGAGGACAGATACAAAACCTAGCTCTGACTGTCAAAAGTCTCCATTCCACTTCTATTCAAAGTGTATGAGAACAAGGCTTTTTGAAATGGTCCACTTTTCCAAGTTGGCATGATTTCTCGTAAAAGAGGGCCCCAAAGCCCAACTGGAAATACCTTTCTCTTGATGTGGCCCATGCTGTCGCTTGGAGGACCGCCCTGGATATGGCCCTGGACATCTGTCAGCTCCATGATGTCCGTCGGGGGAGAAGGAGCCTCTTCGGAGAGTGGAGACATGAGGGACTCCAATTCGTGGGGGTTGGAGGGGGCTACAGGAAGAGGTGGAACTTGGCGGCTGCGGTGGTAATGATAAACGTGGTTCCCAGGCGTCTGGGGATCCAGGCCCGGCACGGACTCTCTGCAGGAATGTTTAAGAGGAAAAATGCCCTATTGGCTGATCAGCAATGAAGGATGTAGTGTCATGTGGCATTGAATCTAAGACACACCTCAATTTTCAAAACCCTGAAACCAAAAAAAGGGTGTGCTGCCAAATGTCATGTGCAGTGGTATAAAGTGCACTCTTTGTCATTTGGGCATTACAATTGCTGCCTGCTCAGGATTCCAACAATGTGTACATGAAGAAGTGACACAGAAATGAAGGTCAGAGTTGGCAGAAAGGGTTTTCTGACAGATGTCTTTCCAACAACACAGAGAGTAAAACAAGGATGCTTTCTGGGCCCCACTCTTTTAACATCTATATCAGGGGTCCTCAAACTAATGCCCGATGGCCGGATATGGCCCTCCAAGGTCATTTACCCGGACCTCGCTCAGGGTCAACCTAAGTCTTGAAAGCACACAGCAACAACAACACAACAACAACAATCCTATCTCATCAGCCAAAAGCAGGACCACACTTCTCATTGAAATACCAATAAAATTTGTATTTGTTAAAATTGTTCTTCATTTTAATTATTATATTGTTTTAAATGTTTTTGCATTATAAATATGTGCAGTGTGCATAGGAATTCATGTTTTTTTCAAATTATAATTCAGCCCTCCAACAGTTTGAGGGACTGTGACCTGGCACTCTGTTTAAAAAGTTTGAGGACCCCTGTTGTATATGAATGACTTAGTGCCTTGTTTAGCTAAAATTCTCCTTCGCCAGTAATCAAGAACAGAAAGATTTTCATTCTGATGTATGCAGATGATCTAGTGCTCATCCCTCTCTCTTGGTTGGGTCTTAAATATATTCCAAAGGATTTCAGTACCTACTGCTAAGAGGAATATCTGTCAACAAATTACTCCAAAGCTTAGCATTCCTTCTTCAAAAATAAAAGCGTTAGAACACCAAAGCTTTCTGCAATGGAAAGGAAAACCTTGGGGTGCATTTGTGTCGTAGATTAAGTCAACATTAACCGCCCTGACTTAATGTTATGAAATCATATAGTTTTACAAGATCATAAACACTAAGATTACCATATGATGCAATTCTAATGCCCACTCAGATTTTTGCAAGAGAATTTAGCTCCAAAGGGTGAGCATAAGATTAAATAGGGTAAATAAAAAATGGTTCGAAATTCGTTTCGGATGTAGGGGGCGCTGGTGATTCAAGTCTAAAGTCAATTCCGATTTTCACAGAAAAAAAATGTTCAAAACTTTTTGAAACTTCTGCAACTTCCAAATCCTTCCTTAATGGTTTAAAAGTGTTATTTCCTGTTTCATTGGGTGGTCTTTAATTTGAAAAGTGGGGGGAGGAGCAAAGGGAGGAAATTCATCCTTCTCTGGTTTAAAACAGCTTCTCTGGCTTGAGCTGAGGCCAGGGACCAGAAGCGGGGAAAAGCCAAATCATTTCCAACTCACTTACTGCTTCATAACAGAAATGGCAGAAAAGGCTTCAGAAGAGCAAAAGGACTTTAGGTTTCCTTAAAAACTTCGAAATCACCTCAAAAAGCAAATCTTTCTGAATTTATTCCAAATTATGAAGATTCCGACCGAACCTAGCCATGCCTAGTAAATCCTTATTAAATGCATTCTCATTGGTCAGGATGAACAATTAATCTCTTATTATTATGTTTATTATTTATTTGTTTGTTTATTTACAGCATTTTTATCGTGCTCTTTTCAGCCCGAAGGCGACTCAGGGCAGCGTACAGACTGGCAACAATTAGATGCCATAAACACACATACATATATATCAATTAAAAACTTTTATTATTATTATGTTTATTATGTGTATTGCCTCATCAATGCAAGAAAGTCCCCGAGACCTGCACAGGTTTTGAATACTACAACAGACTCTCAGTTAACTGGAACTCTCAAGTAAATGGAATTCTCAAGCAGCTGCCAAAACATGGGGAAAGACAATACTTTATTGCTTACAACCTTCACAAAGCGGTAAAACTGTCTTACATTAGGTTACATTTGTCTTTATTTATTTTCCTTAGCTTTTAGTTACTGCATATCAATATGCAATATGCCCCCGGTGGCGCAGTGGGTTAAACCCCTGTGCCAGCAGGACTGAAGACTGACAGGTTGCAGGTTCAAATCCAGGGAGTGGTGGATGAGCTCCCTCTATCAGCTCCAGCTCCTCATGCAGGGACATGAGAGAAGCCTCCCACAAGGATGACAAAAACATCAAATCATCCGTGTGTCCCCTGGGCAACGTCCTTGCAGACGGCCAATTCTCTCACACCAGGAGCAACTTGCAGTTTCTCAAGTTGCTCCTGACACGACAAAAAATATATATGAATATCACGCCAATACAGAGTTTATGATATATTATCATAGGGGGTATAGTATAATTTAGGACCATTATGAATAATAACTCTAAAAAACCAGAAACTACATTTATCTGGCATTTAGCAATCCCCATGGGTGCTGGTTAATTGGGAGTCTACTCTGTTTGCAGATTGGGACTTCCAACGACATTTACGAGTGGTTTTTCTGTGCAGAAAAAAATTATATCCTGCAAATTAGTCCTGTAAAGAAGATGCCATTTTTTGTGCAAATGATCCATGCTGGAATTTTCAAAGAATCATAGCACTGGGAGAGACTACAAGATCCATCTAGTCCAATCCCCCCAGACAGAAAACACAATCAAAATACCATCCGGCTCTTTTTTAAAGTGATCCAAAGATGGAGAGTCTGCCACCCTTTGAGACAATCCGTCCTGCCATCCAATAAGAGCTCTTACTGTTTGGAAGGTCTTCCTAATGTTTAGGTGGACAGACCCAGCCTGATCTGCATGGAATTTGGAGATACATGTCCCCCAAACAGGACTGCTTGGTATGGTTCAATCAGATATGGACCTGGCCATTAGGTGATTTCTCTTTCCCCAACTCTATTCCATGTCTTAAACTTCACTGAGGTTCAGCACCTTGGAGAGTTTTCAACCCAAAGTGGCTCCACCTTCTCCAGGCGATGTGAGACCTACCTCGGTTTGTGGTTGCGGAAGCTGGCACACATGCAGAAGAGGACACACAGCAAGCCTAAGCAGACACCGACGATAATCCCTGTGACCGAGTGGATGTCCAGCAGATCTGATGGGCAAGAGGCAAAGGAAAGAGTCAACATTCTTAGCAAACGATGGAGACAACGAGAATTGGAAAGCTGGGACCGGTCAAAGGGTAAATCCATCTGATTCAATGGTTTTGTTCTAGTCTAGGAGTTCTCAAACATTTTCAGGCACAGGGCTCTTTTTGAAGCAAAATTTTCTCATAGAGCCCCAAGAAATGTTTATATATTATACAAGGGTTGAATGAAAAGTAATGCCTCCACCTTCGTTACTTGGGTTTGGATGGGAATATTTTAATAAATCAAATGCAGAAATAATCCTTAGAATGTGCTCTTTAACTACCACTATTCACTTTTCCACATAATCACCAGACAATTGGATACATTTCTGCCAATGATGAACAAGTTTTCTGAAGCCGTCACAGAAGAAGTTGACACTCTTTTTCCACAACCAGCATTTCACAGTTCTCTCAACGTCTTCATCAGAAGCATAATGATGTCCCCGCAGATCTTTTTTCATTATCAGGAACAGATGGAAGTCAGACGGTGCTAAATCTCGACTGTATGGAGGATGTCGTACGGTGGTGAGATCCAGTCTCTGAAGTTTCAAGTCTGTGCACTTTCATTTCAGGCATCAGCATCGTGGGTACCCATCGTGCACAGATCTTCCGCTAGCCAAGCAAAGCAATAATGTGACCCACACATTCTTGTGAAATGCCGATTATGCTTGAAATTTCTCTCTAAGTGATATGACAATTATCCTGAATCAATCTGTCAACCTTTTGCTTGTGAAACTCGGTGGTTGCTGTCACAGGACATCCAATTCTTTGTTTGTCACGCAAGTCAGATGTTCCCACCTCAACATCTTTAAACTTTTTCGCCCAACAACACACAGTACTCACATCAACACAGTTACCATAAACAGCTTGCATTCTCTGATGAATCTCCTTTGAGGGTGACACCTTCTGCTGTCAAGAATTCAATGACTGCACATTGCTTAAGTTGCATTGACCCACCATCTGCGCAGGGCTCCATACTTGGCATTTTAACAACACAACTGTGCAATACTAAGGCTTCCCGCCAAAATGGAACTGTAGAGGAGAATCTACTGAACAAGCCAGTACCTGCCGCATACCAGTACTGCCATCTGTTGAGGAGTTACAAAGATGGAGGCATTACTTTTCATTCAACTCGTGTGTGTGTGTGTGTGTGTGTGTGTATTGTGTGTGTGTGTAGAGAGAGAGAGAGAGAGAGAGAGAGCATGGACAAATTTTCTGACATCCATAAACTTAACAGTATTTCAGTGGAAGACCCCAGGGACCATGCAGGTCAACTTCCTTCTGCTACACAGGAAAAGCCCAATCAAAGCATCTCCTGAATGGTGCGAGGGAAATAGGGTTTCAGAAGCAAGGAAAGTGAGGAGAAAAGCATCTGGATGGCAAGGAAGGTGAAGGAAAAAGGCTTTTGGCGGGATGGGGCATGAGGAAAAAGAGCTTTTTAAGGTGAGGAAGGCAAGGGGGAAGCAGGAAAGAGGAGGGAAAGCTTGGAGGAAGAGGAGGGGTTTTTTCTCAACTCTGGCCTTCACTAAGGTAGACCCTGCAGAACATTAGTTTGTAACAAATGTCTCCCAAGAGACATTTGTTACAAACAAATGTCTCTTGGCAAGAACGAATGGTACCTGAGCAAGAACGAATGGTACCTGAGAACCTCTCCCGCAAGGTTTGCACATCCTTCACCTTCGAGTAGGGTCCTGACCCAACCACCGTCTTGGCTCCCATCTTGAAGAAATATCTGGTGTTGCTTTCCAACCCATGGACTTCAGTGCTGAATGTATTACCTGAACAGGAGAGAGATTCAGAGCATTGTGTTCTGGGGTCAAACTCATTTTCATGAAGGGCACATCAACCTTTTGGTTGCCTTCAAGGGGCCGCTGAATCCATGGATGGAGACTCCATGGAAACTGAAGGCCAATTATAATTGTATTACATCATGGTCAGTACTGTTCAGTTTCCACCTAATTCGGGTGCTCAGGTGTCATGGAATGATGACTCTTATCATTTTTGATGATCCACCATGTGGACTGAGCATAATGGGAATGGCAACCCAACAGCTCTTGTGCCTCTGAGGTTGGGGAAAGATTGAAGGGCGTTTTAAAGTTAGACATCCTATCCACAAGCCATGTATCTCTATCCAGACCCCGATCTCCTGACTAAACAGAACAAACTGCATCCTGCCAGATGTTCCTGTATCACAACACCCATCAGCTGAACTCAGGATGTCTAATGATGAAGAATACAGGAGTTGTAGTTCAGCATCTGCAGGGCCATATAAAATGGCATGGTGGGCCTTGAGTTTGACAGATCTGGTTGTCGAGCATCGTAGTACACAGTTGTTTCCCTTCATGTGCATTTGCAGATACTCACCTTCTTTGGTCAGGAGAGTCCACATCTCATCAGGTTGAGTACTGTTGGCATTGTAAAGGATGATATATTCCACAATGATGCCATTGGGTTCAGAAGGGGGGCACCAGTGGACCTGCACAGCATACGGGTTAATGGGGTGCAGCCGCAAATCGGCGGGAGGAGTTGAGGGTCCTGCAAAAACAGAGCACAATGTTCAGTGGCACCAGTCAACATTAAACTACACATAAATGAACATTATGATTCGTTGTGATCAAATTTTCATTCCCAAAATTGGTTTCCGACTGCACCAGATTTGGAAATAGTGACAATAATATAAAATAATAATAATAATAATAATAATAATAATAATATATTATTATTATTATTATTATTATTATTATTATTATTATTATGATACAAAATAATATAAAATAATAATATAAAATTATATATATAAGTATTATTATTATTATTATTATTATTATTATTATTATTATATATCTTAGCCGCCTCTCCTTGTGGCTCAAGGCAGATTAAAACATAGCTAAAGCCCATAATCATCATAAACTTTATATAAATACACATATTGAAACTTATTTCTACTTATATTAAAATACACCACACAAAGATTAAAACATCGTGAACACAAGACGCAAGTCTAAAATTCATGATTAAAACCAACTGGGGAGACTTTCTGCTAGAAGAGATAGGTCTTCAGACGTGTTTTAAATGTAAATTAAATCACTAATTCTTAAATAGAAACCAGAAGTTATAGAATCTGTGAGTTAGGGTCATCAAATCCAATTTCATGTCGCTGCAAGAAAATCTTAAATTAAAGATGAACATCCAAAATTTGGTTCTAGAAAACTCCTAACAAATGGAGAATTCCAAGTCCATTCCACTGCTGAGCAATTCTCACACTGATGACTTGCTTCCTAATGAGTCACTTTTGACCTAAATTCAATCAACTGATTTGTACTCACACATTCAACACAACAGTCCTTTGGAATTCACCAGGTGTCTTCTTCCAGTTCTGATCTGGATGGTGAAGAAGTTGTCCCTAAGCATTTTCTAGATATTCCAACATAATTCTATTGTACACTTCCACTGGAAGTTGTCCATAGTCATGCTGAGGAACCTAGATTTGCTGGAGAGGTGTTATCACTAGGCATTTTCTAGATCCTCCAGCATAATTCTATGGAATACTTCCATAGGAGTGATGCTGAAGAATCCAGTCTTGCTGGAGAGGTGTTATCTCGAGACATTTTCTAGATCCTCCAGCATAATTCTATGGAATATTTCCATAGGAAGGATGCTGAGGAATCCAGACTTGCTGGAGAGGTGTTATCTCTAGGCATTTTCTAGACCCTCCAGCATAATTCTGGTATACCTCCATAGAAAGCTGTCCATACTCGTGCTGAAGAATCCAGACTTGCTAGAGAGGTGTTATCTCTAGGCATTTTCAAGATCTTCCAGCATAATTTTATGGTATACTTCAACTGGAAGTTGTCTGTAGAGTAATGCTGAAGAGTTCAGACTTGCTGCAGATATGATACTCTAAGCATTTTCTAGGCATTTCCATAGGAAGTTGTCCATAGTCATGCTGAAGAATCCAGTCATGCTGGAGAGGTGTTGTCTCTAGGCATTTTCTAGATCCTCCAGCATAACTCTACGATGTTCTTCCACTGGAAGCTGACCCAGAAATTGTGATGTTGTGGTGCAGCCTCTGGGAACTCTAGTATTGTTCTTCTCTTGCCAATACTTTGACGTTGGGCTACTCACGGTCTGGAAGGGTGAACCATTCCACCACGTTGCCAAATGGACCATCGATGCCGACCCCATTTGACTGCACAGCAAACTCGTATCTGGTGAATGGCTTCAAGCCGCTGATGAGGATCTCTTCGTTGGAGCTGTGGTGGCAAGGAAGAGCCATGAGAGGGGAGAGAAATATTACGGCACAGATTGCCAGCTGTGTGACCTGCGAAAGGCTAGGCGAGTGTTTGGCAAGCCAGCAAGGGCAAAAGAGTTGCCAGGGGTTCAAAATGCTCTTTGATTGTATGTGACCTATACATCCTAGCAACTGCTACTCTGAAATGTCAAGGTCTATTTTCCCCAAACTCCACCAGTGTTCACATTTGGGCATGTTGAGTATACATGCCATGTTTGGTTCAGATCCATCATTGTTTGAGTCCACAGTGCTCTCTGGATGTAGGTGAACTACAACTCCCAAACTCAAAGTCAATGCCCACCAAATCTTTCCGGTATTTTCTGTTGGCCATGGGAGTTCTGTGTGACAAGTTTGGTTCAATTCCATTGTTGGTGGAGTTCAGAATGCTCTTTGATTGTAGGTGAACTATAAATCCCAGTAACTACAACTCCCAAATGACAAAATAATTTTTTTCGAGTGACCCCCCCCCCCCCCAGTATTCAACTGTGGGTGTATCGGGTATTTGTGCCAAATTTGGTCCAGTGAATGAAAATGCATCCTGCATATGAGATATTTACATGATGATTCATAACAGTAGCAATGAATATAGTTTTATGGTTAGGGGTCACCACCACATGAGGAATTGTATTAAGGGGTTGTGGAATTAGGAAGGTTGAGAAATGCTGGTATAATGCCTTTGGATGTTTTGACCAGACTCTGATGCGTGTTGCTTGGCCACATATACTTGGGTTTTCATGAAGGAGTGCGGTAGGGTATGTCATTGCATTGACGACCTTGTTCTTCAGCTGACCTCTTACCTTGTGTAGTAGGTCACGAGGGAAGCGTTCTTGAGTCCCCAAGGGCTGAAGCGCACGGTGTAATTGACAATCTCCACCGTGGAAAAATCGGGTTTCTTCCACTTCAGCCAAATTGAGGTGGAGCTGTTGGATTCAACATAGACATGTGCTGGAGGCAGCGGTGGTCCCTTCTGAACTGGCGGGTCTGAGATGTAAGGAAACAGCAAGGAATGGGCACAGATTCAAAAGAATGAGAGGGAATAAAATACATATCAGTACTAAAGAAGTAGCAATATAGGGATGGGCAAAAGGCAGTTGTGGGTCCTCCTGGGAAGCTAATGTAGCCTCCAGGACTCCCATGTTGCCCATTACTGCCTTAAAATGTTTCACAGTTGGTACATCACTCCAATAAAACTTGCCAAGATGAATAAAAACCAAAGAATGTTGTAATCAATGCTGGAAATGTAAGACACAAGAAGGGGTATTTCTCCACATGTGGTGGACCTGTCATAAAGCCAATGCATTTTGGCCAGCAGTTAAGAAAACCTTTTTGCAACAAAATACACAGTTTTTACCAAAAATATTTTTTGTTGGGACTGCCAAATGATGTCACCAATAAGAAAAAGATAGTTTTCTTTCAAACTGCTATAACAGCTGCCCAAATGCCAGAAAACGTTGAATGTTTTTATATTGTGTAAATGCTATTTTAGATTGTAAGTCGCTCGGAGCACCTTGGTGGAGAGAGACTAATTAAGAAATAAAGTGAAGTGAAGTGAAGCGAAAATGGAAAGAAATGATTATTCCATCTGTAAATGAATGGTTGACAACCAAACTGCAAAACTTTGCAGAATCTGAGAAATGAGTTTGTCTCCTTAGAAGTTAAACAATACGTTATCAAAATAATTGGAAGCCTTTCGCAGAATATATAGATGAAATATTTAAAGACTGGTCCATAATAGTACTAAGCGGTTAAAATACATTGTCAGAAAGAAGAGCAAGATTAGGATAAATGTTGTACAATTAGGCCACCTTTGACTACTTTATATAAATTTTACACACATGTAAAATTTACATGCATTGCTTGATAAGAGCTTTTATAGGACAAAATATTGTAAGACTTTATCAGAGTAAAGTTGGGAAGTTTTCTTTCAAACTATATATACTTAAGTATAAGCCGAGTTTTTCAGCACATTTTTTAGGCTGAAAAAAATCCTCCTTGGCTTATACTCGAGACAAAGTTATTAATTATTTTACTCTGTTATTATTATTATTACATTTATTATTTTACTCTATTTATTATTATTATATTTTACTCTATTTGTTGTTATTATTATTAATATTATATGTATTATTTTACTCCATTATTACTGTTATTAGTACATTTCCATTATTTTACTTTCTTTATTATTATTGGAAGGATAAGTAAACACATTTATATTGAAGGTTAGAATAATGGTTTAATCGGAGTTGGGCAGCCTTAACTTAAATTACAGTTTTATGTAAGTATTCAAAACCATTTAACCTTCGGATGACTCAATTCATGTAATTTTATTGTTATCTATTTTTATTTTGAAATGTAGCTGCTGCATTTCCCACCATCGGCTTAGACTCAAGTCAATATGTTTTCCCAGTTTTTTGGGGTGAAATTAGGTTCCCTGGGTATATTTGGGTCAGCTTATACTTGAGTATATATGGTACATATCTTTTACTATTATTAGAAAGTGAAAAATTGTTACTGTTAATTGATGGCTTTATATTCCAATAGTTACGTTATAATGTGTACACTCTGGAAATAATAATTTCAAGAAAAGAAATGGATTTATTTCCCACTCTATCTGCTCAATTGCCATTTCTGTTTTCTAGCAGCCTTGATGGCTGCGATCTTGCTGGGACAGTAAACAATGGTTCCCTATCCTTCTTCAAAGAAAATTCAGCAATTTCAAGCTCTGATCTAACCTCAAGTATTAGTTCCATTCTTCTATGAAAGCCATCCCTGACTGGGCAGAAGGAGTCTGGGTGCGGAGGGGCAACCTACCTGCTGCTGCGGCCGGGGCTCTCTCCGTTTTTCCCTTCCAAATCGCCGCATAGCCATCTTCGTGCTTGTTGAAGGCCACCACCTTCACTTCATAGAGCCTCCCAGGAACTGGATTGAGCAAACAGAAATGAGAGTGAGCTAGATCTACATGTCATGAATACCTTTTAAACATTAAAAAGGTTCTTTTATTCTGTTTCCAGTGAGACAGAGTTATATCAGCCACTTTACAGAGCAAGAAGACAGACATACAGTCTATGGCTAAATTGGTAACACAAACAAAAGGGGATTACATTTGACACATATAAACATCCAATATCTCCTTGTTTTATAGCATTTTTATTGTGCTATATGAAGAAAAAACATACACTCTTCAAAATTCAACAATCAAAGGGAGCCGTTAAATAATTACAAAGGGAGGCATTAAATAATAGTAGTAGTAGTAATAATAATAATAATAATAATAATAATAATAATAATAATAATTAGATGCACCCCTAAAATGGCTACCTGGTCCTTCAGGAGGACTACAACCCCATTCAAATAAGTTGCTGTCTCCATTCCCAGACTTGAGAAACACCAGTCTACAGAGATGAGTGGTGCATCTACATTGTAGAATTAATGCCACGGCTCAATACTATGGAATAATGAGAGCTGCAGTTTTGCAAGGTCTATAGTAATCTCTGCCAAACAATGGTGTTGCATTACCAAATGACACATTCCATAATTCCACAGAATTGAGCCATGACAGTTAAAGTGGTGTCAAACTGCATTAATGCTACAGCGTAGCATTCAGGTGTTTTGGGCTTCAACTCCCACAGTTCCTAACAGCCTACTGGCTGAAGTTTGCCTGTGCCTGGTGTAAATGCACTGGATTTGGCTCCCATGTTGAGGGAGAGTGTACAGAGAGGGTGTGGATTTCTTCTGGGTTTTACTCTGAACTTGAAAAGTGCCATTCAAAGTGCTGCATCTGCTCACTATCCACTTGGAAAGCCACTACGAATCGCAGACTGGAACAGATTCACTCATATATGGGAACCAAACGCTTTCTCCTGGCTGAGAGTCATGCGTCCGTATGAATTTAAAATAGGAAAAGCCAAACAATTGCTATGAAGAAGCAAGGATCTCAACTCCATCTTGCAACCCAACCAAAACCAAGTGCTGGGCCATGAAGGGCTGGTGTTCCTCCTCCTCCTCCTCTGGAACAACTGAACCAGGGAGAAAGCCTTATTCCACGCTCCCCTCGACCTCCCGAACAGCAAGAAACTGGGGCAGGGCTTTTAAACGTTCCAATTCCCCATTGCCAAGGGATAAATAGGGCAAGCTTTTAAACAGCCAGGACAAAGGCGCCCATTAAGTAATTGCATGGACCTGTTTGTTTCCGTTGCAGTGACACCGCATCATTACACACTCCCCGAAGAAGGAGGCTTAAAAGGGTGCAGCACTTCAGACACGATCAGCTGAGCTTTCTGGGCACTGTTTCTTGCAGCAAGGGAAGCCAAGCCTCCTGCGGACATCCAAAAAAAGGGCTCTTTCAAAGGCCTCCTGCCCCACTTTTCCTTCCCTGGTCCTGTTGGGGCTCATTCTCCATCCCTTCTTCTTTTCGAGATGGGCTCATTCAAGGGGAACCGCTTGAGCAACTCCGTGTTTACAAATAGAGCAGAGAATGGGGACAATTCTCTCTTTGGGCGCCCAGTTCCCTTTTCCCGCACGGCCTCCCGTCTTGTCAGCCTCCACTGATGAAGCGCCGCTAATTAAGCTAAGGATCGCCAGCTCCGTTGGCAGCCACAATGCGGCCCACACAAAGCAGGCTTTCAGCAATGCCAGGAGGATCTCTCTCGCTGGGATGCAAGCAATGCCACTGTGCCCTCGTTACAAGGAAAAGCTTCAAAAGGTTATTTTGCCTTAGAGCCTGCATTTGCCATCTGGAAAGAAGGTAATATTTTGGTGCCTTTCTTTCTTTTCTAAGAGCTTTGCAGCAAAGGTGGCACTCGAAGTTGCATTGGCAACCATTGTTCTTCTTCACAATTATGGCCCCGTGTTACCTTCCACCATTTTGGAGATGAAAAAGAGAACAACATGAGACAGCAAAATATTATCAGCAGAGAAGAACAAATGAAACAGCAGCAGTTTGCTTTTGCCTGTGCACACTGGGAAGGACGACGTTTTGTCCACTCCTCTTTCCTTTTCCTTCTTTTAAACAGGATAGAAAGTTTCCCTCCCTGAGAGATGCATTAATAATTTATTGCATTTGAGATCAAATTGCTTCTCCTCCCTAGACGACCAGGCAAGAGGGACAGGGATCAAGAAAGCAGATTGTCTTCCTTACTTGCCCCAGAAAATGACGACGACGACGACGATGATGATGATGATGATATTATTATTATTATTACTATTATTTTACTGACACAAAACACAGTATGTCACAGCAAATGAGATCTATATGCTATAGATAGATAGATAGATAGATAGATAGATAGATAGATAGATAGATAGATGGGGGACAACGCCTGGCTCGAGAGCAGTGTGAAAAAGATCTTGGAGTCCTCTGGACAACAAGTTAAACATGAGCCAACAATGTGATGTGGCAGCAAAAAAAGCCAATGGGATTTTGGCCTGCATCAATAGGAGCATAGTGTCTAGATCTAGGGAAGTAATGCTACCCCTCTATTCTACTTTGGTTAGACCACACCTGGAATATTGTGTCCAATTCTGGGCACCACAATTCAAGAGAGATATGGACAAGCTGGAATGTGTCCAGAGGAGAGCGACTAAAAGGATAAAAGGTCTGGAGAACAAGCCCTATGAGGAGCGGCTTAAGGAGCTGGGCATGTTTAGCCTGAAGAAGAGAAGGCTGAGAGGAGATATGATAGCCATGTATAAATATGTGAGAGGAAGCCACAGGGAGGAGGGAGCAAGCTTGTTTACTGCTTCCCTGGAGACTAGGACGTGGAACAATGGCTTCAAACTACAAGAAAGGAGATTCCATCTGAACATGAGGAAGAACTTCCTGACTGTGAGAGCCGTTCAGCAGTGGAACTCTCTGCCCGGAGTGTGGTGGAGGTTCCTTCTTTGGAAGCTTTTAAACAGAGGCTGGATGGCCATCTGTCAGGGGTGATTTGAATGCAATATTCCTGCTTCTTGGCAGGGGGTTGGACTGGATGGCCCATGAGGTCTCTTCCAACTCTTTGATTCTATGATTCTATGATTCTATGATAGATAGATAGATAGATAGATAGATAGATAGATAGATAGATAGATTATATGCTTGATTATTATTATTATTATTATTATTATTATTATTATTATTATTATTATTATGGCAACACAAGAGATCATCCTTAAATCTCAGGATTGGACCCCTAATCTCAGGATTGGACCTCTGGGGTAGCCATATTCTAGTTTTTCATCCCCAACTGCTTTAATTTTTGCAAACTAGCACAAGAGTCCCAAGGTAGGGGCAAGGTGCTATTGACCCTATATTAATAATAATAGTAATACTTTATTTATAACCCGCCCTATCTCCTCGAGGGGACTCAGGGCTGTTTCCACACAAGTGGTGAACATTCAAAGGAAACACACAAACTAAATCAAACCAATAATACAACATCAATATAACTTATAATAACTAACCAAAGTAAATCAATCAAAACAATATAAAATAATTAATAAAAGCATAATAAAATCTCATCTAGTCTTTTATTTTAACTTTTAACTGCCCTGGCTCAATGCTATGGAATCCAGAGAGCTGTAGTTCAATATTTTATTTATTGTGTCAGAAGACAGTTGAGTGTACAGTTGAAATGCATTTAAAAAAACAAAGTTTTTTTAAAAGAACTTGGCATGATGCTAAATGTCCTTGGACCAGTATCTGGCCACTTGGCGTGTCTCTGGTGTTGCTGCAAGAAGGACCTCCATTGTTCATGTGACAGGGCTCAGACCGCATTGTAGTAGGTGGTGTGTGGTTTGATCTTCTCCACACTCGCATGTCATGGACTCCACTGTGTAGCCCCATTTCTTAAGGTTAGCTCTGCATCTCGTGGTGCCAGAGCGCAGTCTGTTCAGCACCTTCCAGATCGTCCACTCTTTTGTGTGCCCAGGAGGGAGTTTCTCATCTGGCCTCAGCCACTGATTGAGGTGCTGGGTTTTAGCCTGCCACTTTTGGGCTCTTGCTTGCTGATGTGTTCCTGAGAGTATATCTGTAGATCTTAGGAAGCCGTTTCTTGATTTAAGGCATTGGTGTGCTGGCTGATATCCAAACAGGGGATGGGGCAGAGATGTCACTGCTTTGGTCCTTTCATTACAGGCTGCTACTTCCTGGTGGATGTCAGGTGTTGCAATAACAGCCAAACAGTGTAATTTCTCCAGTGGTGTAGAGCATAGACATCTGGTGATAATGCGGCATGTCTCATGAAGAGCCACATACACTGTTTTACCATGGTGAGATGTTTTCCACACTGGGCATACATATTCAGCAGCAAAGTAGCAAAGCGCAAGGGAAGATGTCTTCACTGTGTCTGGTTGTGATCCCCAGGTTGTGCCAGTCAGCTTTTGTACAATATTATTTCTATCACCCACTTTTTGCTTGATATCCAAGCAGTGCTTCTTGTACGTCAGAGCATATTCCAGAGTGACTCCCTGGTCTTGTGTTTGTGCTGCAATGCTCCAGTGGGGATCCTTCCCAGGGAATCCTCAGATCTCGAGATGCTTGTCTGTTCTTAAGTTCAATGAGGCTCTGGCACTACAACTCTCAGGAGCCAGGACAGTGAAAGTGGTGTCAAGCTACATTCATTCTACAGTGTAGTAGATGCACCCATAGTCAGCAATAACAACTTAACTATGCCCCCACCCCACCCCACATTGCATGGCTTAAGAACAAGACTCAGTGTACATACCTAAGTTGATCAACTCATATTGTTTGACCTTCTTCTTCAGCTTGATGGGCCCCACGTCCCAAAGGCCATCCCCGGTGCCTTCCGAAGGGCTCTCCTCGCTTTTCTCCTCGGCAGCCACTTCCCGGTAGTAAAGCTTGTAGCCTGAGATCTGGGCATGGTTGGCTGGAGGTTGCCAACTTACCAAGAGGGATTCCATTCTGGCTCTGACTTTTAACTCGGTCGGGGCGAACGGAACTAGGGAAATGGGAAAGATATCCTGCTGAGATTAAACTGTTTAAGAGACTTAAGCCTAAGAAACACTAAGAAGCTTCAATGAGAATGATTTCATTGTTTTATTTGTAAGTTAGAGGCTGAAATATTGAGTAGTATTATTATTATTTGAAACACAACAAGATGAGTCCATTGCAGACAAGATCACTCTGCTGGTTATTGTATTGGATCACACGTCGGACACTTCCCAAGTGTCTAGGACTGTGTATTATTATTATTATTATTATTATTATTATTATTATTATTATTATTATCTTTGTTTATATCCTGCCTTTCTCCCCATAAGGACCAACGCGGTTCAAAGCCACGAGTCGGGGTGAGCTCCCTACTGTCAGCTCTAGCTTCTGCCAACCTAGCAGTTTGAAACCATGCAATGCGAGTAGATCAATAGGTACCACCTCGGCAGGAAGGAAAAAGGGTACACCATACAGATATGCAGGCAAACCGGCAACACAATCAGAGATGTTTACAGACAATATGCTCCTCAGCATGGAAACATGGAACAAGAGCACCTCCCCGTGGCTGGAGTTGAGCATCGCCTCCAGATGCTGGAGATCAAAAAAGGGGAAGGCCTTTACTTTTGTCTGTGTTGTACGTCATTGCTCGCTGTGTGTAAAAGGCATTGAATGTTTTCCTCATATGTGTGTATTGGAATCTGCTCTGAGTTCGTCCAGGGAGATAAAGCAGAATTTAAATAAGGTGTATACTAACAATCATACAATCTAATAACAATGTAAAACAAAACCAATATGAAAATTAAATATTAGTGCATAGATATAGAGTTAAAATACAATTAAAATGCAATAAATACAATCAAAATTACATTTAAAATTGCTTTGAGTACCCTTTGGGGAGATAAAGAGGAGGAGGAGGAGGAGGAGGGGAGAAGGAGAAGGAGAAGGAGGAGGAGGAGGAGGGGGAGGAGGAGGAGGGGGAGGAGAAGGAGGAGGGGAAGAAGGAGGAGGAGGAGGAGGAGGAGGAGAAGGAGAAGGAGAAGGAGAAGGAGAAGGAGAAGGAGAATGCAAAGACTCTGGCACAAGCCAGTCCAGGTGGTCCTAGTTGTGATCGGCACACTGGGTGCAGTGGCTAAAGACCTTGGCCTGCACTTAAACACAATCGGAATTGACAAAATTACCATCTGCCAGCTGCAGAAGGGATCAGCATGCATTATTCGCCGATACATCACACAGTCCTAGACACTTGGGAAGGGTCCACCGTGTGATCCAATACAGCAGCCACCAGAGTGATCTTGTTTTCTGTGTACGAATCTTGTTGTGTTTCAAATAATAATAATAATAATAATAATAATAATAACAATAATAATAACAATAATAATACTTTGAGATAGGTCAGTATATAAACCAGTAGCAGCCCTACCGTGGGTTTGGTTGTCTCTGTCCGGGGTGCGATGCTGCGTCCACTCCGAAGGCGCCCCATAACCCACGCTGGTGCTTGCCGCAATCCGCACTTTGTAGACCTTATTGGGGTGCAGGGCATGGAGCACAAGCTGTGTCTCATTCGCACTGACCTCCGTGGAAGAAATCAGATCTGCGTCACAAAGATAAAGGGCAGCTCATTTGAGAAAACCCAGAGTTGGAATAGACCCCGAGGGCCATCTCCCATGTAATATCACTATGTAACACAATTTTTGTTCCTGGGTTATAAATGTAATTTCCTGATTGGTTCTAGCATAAAAACATGGGTAAAGTTCATGAAACTGCCCAAACTTCGTTTCTGAGGGAGGGACATCCTGCGACATATTTTGCTCTAGCTTTTCCTTGAATATCTCATCATTGAGTCTCAACCAATTCAACATAGTTTGTGCTAGAAAAACAACAAAGTTTCTGGAGCAGAACAACTACTTTCAAAGTAAGGACCACACAATGAAACAGGAAATAATACTTTCAAACCAGGACCAGAACATTTGTCAAATTTAGTTACATAGTGTAGTAATAATGTGTTTTGATTTTAGTTATTGTATTATGTTGCTGGGCTTGGCCTCATGTAAGCCACCCCGAGTCCGCATCGGGGAGATGGAGGCGGGGTATAAATAAAGTTGATTATTATTATTATTATTATTATTATTATTATTATTATTATTATTATATTTGAGAACACAGAAGTGCTGGACCACTCTCACACCCACCATGTCAGACTACACAGAGAAGCCATTGAAATCCACAAGCATGTGGACAATTTCAACAGAAAGGAAGAAACCATGAAAATGAACAAAATCTGGCTACCAGTATTAAAAAACTCAAAAATTACAACAGCAAAACAACAGAGGGGAAACAAACAGGCACATAAAATCACTCTCAACAAAAGATTCCCCCCAGGCGCTTCCAAGCCATTGAATGCAAATCAAGGTGATCAGCTGAAACATTCACAGCTAGCCCCAGCAGACAAAAGTCCTTTGTCTCACCCTGGTCATTCCACAGATATATAAACCCATTTTTCCTACTTCCAACAGACCTCACTACCTCTGAGGATGCTTGCCATAGATGCAGGCGAAACGTCAGGAGAAAAAAAATTGCCTCCAGAACATGGCCATATAGCCAGGAAAACCCTACAACAACCCATTATTATTATTATTATTATTATTATTATTATTATTATTATTAATTAGCACAGCTGGTAAATCACCAGCAACTATAAGATCTATCAATTGAAAGATTGCAAGTTTGAAGCCCTGGGTCGGCGTGAGCTGCCGACTGTCAGCTCAGCTTACTCTCTGCAATATGTCCTCAGAATGCACTTTAATACTGACTTAGGATGGACCGTGCTCCCTCATTTCTCTCCGAAAAATCCTATCCTAGTTATATTTTACCTTGTTCACATCAGCATATTTTCAGTTTTAATTTATTACATTTGGCCTGGCCATTTTTAAAATTGTTTATGTCACTATTGATTGTTTTTTGTTTATGTGATTTATATGATTTGTATTTTATTGATTGTTTATTGATGTTGTGTTTATTGATGTTTTGTTTGATGTACTTTGGGCTTGGCCTCATGTAAGCCGCAGGTAATTTTCAACGGTAAGCAAACAGTATTTTGGCGCCCCCCCGCCCCAACCAATCACTGATATATTTCTGTTTGTCGTGGGAGTTCTGTGTGCCATATTTGGTTCAATTCCATTATTGGTGGAGTTCAGAATGCTCTTTGATTGTGAACTATACATCTCAGTAACTACAACTCACATATGTCAAGGTCAAGCACCTCAACAGCACCCCTGGGAAAAATCAAGTATACTGCAAATGCTTACTTTGCGTAATGGGTTGAGCCGCCCCTGGTAAGCCGCACCAAGACCCTTGGGGAGATGGTAGCAGGGTACAAATAAAGATTATTATTATTATTATTATTATTATTATTATTATTATTATTATTATTACTGTTTACCTAAGCAGTCGAAAACAGCTTTAGCTGTAATTAGAGAAATTATATACTGCTAAAAGTGGGGGAGGTGTTTTATGACACCATAAAGAAAGAAGATCAGAAAATGCTGGGTGACCAAATGGAAAGAGGAATTCTTGACGGCTCTTCGTCATAGAGGATAGAGCTAGAGCACCCCATGTGGCTGGACTCGAAACCAACCTTCCACGACACCAAAACAGCTGGACACTGAGTCGAAACAACGTACCTCCTTCTGTTCTGTCTGTCTGTGTATTGTCTATACAAAGCGGCATTGAATGTTTGCAGTGTATGTGTACTGTGATCTGCCCTGAGTCCCCTTCAGGGTGAGAAGGGCGGAATATAAATAAAGTGTTATTATTATTATTTATTATTATTAATAATAATAATAATAACCACAACTACTACTACTCTGGCACGTAGAATCATAGAATCCTAGAGTTGAAAGAGACCTTGTGGACCATCCAGTTCAGCCCCATTCTGCCAAGAAGAAGGAAAATTGCATTCAAAGCACCCCCGACAGATGGCCATGCAGCCTCTGCTTAAAAGCCTCCAAAGAAGGAGCCTCGACCACACTCTGGGGCAAAGAGTTCCACTGATGAACAGCTATCACTGTCAGGAAGTTCTTCCTCGCGTTTAGGTGGAATCTCATTTATTTCCTGTCGTTTGAAGCCATTGTTCTGCATCCTATTCTCCAGGGCAGCAGAAAACAAGCTTGCTCCCTCCTGTCTATAACTTCCCCTCACATCTTTATACATGGCCCTTTGGGGTGAGAAAGGTGAAATATAAATACTGTAAATAAATAAATAAATAAATAAATAAAGTACTCAATTGCCTCCTACTCACCATCCTTGACTGGGGCGTAGTCGATTTTGTATTTGGTGATCCTCCCGTTGCTCAGTTCCAGAGGAAGCGGCAGCCACATCACCTTGATATCAGTCGGCGTCACACTCGAAAGCGTCAACTGGGGGGCCGCACTGGGAACTGGGACACAAGCCACAAAACCAGTGAGTCTACATCATCATCATCCAAGACACCAAGCATTCAACTGACATTTAAAAATGCAATAGACCATCCCTGCAGCAGAGGGTACTGCATTCAGGTGCATCTACACTGTAGAATTAATGCTGTTTGGCACCACTTGGACTGCCCTGGCTCATGGTTGTGGATTTCTACAATTTGTAGTTTGCACTCTTCCAGGGAGAGGGTGAAAGACCTTGCACAATGACAACATCCTTTATTCCGTAGCCTTAATGCTACAGTATAGATGCCATTAGTCTTGAGATTCAATAGTGAAAGGTAGCTTCCAAATAGCACATGGCTCACATCCCACATACTGTGTTAGGGTTTTTTAAAACTCTCCTATGGTATCACTCCAAGCCAGGGCTCCATGGCAGGGCAGAACCTTTCCCACCTGAGAAGCTTGTGGCCATTAGGAGTGTGCAATTTGGTTAAACTCCATTCTGTTTTCAGTATCTGGATTTCGGTGGATCCCCAGATCTGTTTTTTGGGAGCCTCCGGGGAAATAAAGTTGGGCATTTTCCACCAAAACACTATGTAACAAAATTTGAAATAAATTCTGTTCCTGGTTTGAAAGTATCATTTCTTGTTTAAATGTGTAATCCTAACGTTGAAAGTAGTTGTTATACTCCAGAAACTTTATTTTTGCAGCTGCCACAAATGATGTTACAATTGATTGGGACTCTAGGACAGGCATGGGCAAACTTTCACAGAGGAGTTGAAGTCCAAAATGCCTGGCGGGCCAGAGTTTGCCTATGCCTGGTCTAGGATAGATTCATTGAAAAACTAAAATATGTTATAGCAGGATGTCCCCCAAAAACAAAGTTTTTGCAGTTTAAGACACTTTTATGATAGAACCAATTAGGAAATGACATTTATCACCCAGGAACAAAAATCAGGTTACATAGTGTAATGATGATGATGATGATGATGATGATGATGATGATGATAAAACATTATTATTATGGCTGTTTAACTATGGCTTTTAAACTATGGATATGACTTTTAACATTTTTATTGTTGTTGTGAAATGTGTTTTATTGGTCTTTTATTATTATTTACTTTCTGATTTAATGTTTATACTATTTACCTGTATTGTTTAATTTATTGTTTATATCTGTGGCATTGAATGGTTAGAGTTTCATCTATGCTGATGATCGTGCCATTACTGCTCAAGCAGGGAGCTTTGAGATGGTTGAACAGAAGCTCTCCGAAGCTCTAGGTGCTCTAACTGCCTATTACAGGGAAAACCAAATGATCCCTAATCCATCTAAAACACAGACATGTGCCTTTCACCTTAAGAACAGACAAGCATCCCGAGCTCTGAAGATTACCTGGGAAGGAATCCCACTGGAGCATTGCAACACACCCAAATACCTGGGAGTCACTTTGGACCGTGCTCTGACCTACAAGAAGCACTGCCTGAACATCAAGCAAAAAGTGGGCGCTAGAAACAACATCATACGAAAGCTGACTGGCACAACCTGGGGATCACAACCAGACACAGTGAAGACATCTCCCCTTGCGCTATGCTACTCTGCTGCTGAGTATGCATGCCCAGTGTGGAACACATCTCACCACACTAAAACAGTGGATGTGGCTCTTAATGAGACATGCCGCATTATCACAGGGTGTCTGCGCCCTACACCACTGGAGAAATTACACTGCTTAGCCGGTATTGCACCACCTGACATCCGCCGAGAAGTTGCAGCCAATAGTGAAAGGACCAAGGCAGAGACATCTCCAGCTCATCCCTGTTTGGGTATCAGCCAGCACGTCAACGACTTAAATCAAGAAATAGTTTTCTAAGATCTACAGAGACACTCGCTGGAACACCTCAGCAAGCGAGAGTCCAAAAGTGGCAGGCTCAAACCCAGCACCTCAATCCATGGGTGATACCAGATGAGAGACTCCCCCCTGGGCACACAGAAGACTGGGCGACTTGGAAAGCGCTGAACAGACTGCGCTCTGGCACCACGAGATGCAGAGCCAATCTTAAGAAATGGGGCTACAGGGTGGAATCCTCGGCATGCGAGTGCGGAGAAGAGCAAACCACTGACCACCTGCTGCAATGCAACCTGAGCCCTGCCACATACACGATGGAGGACCTTCTTGCGGCAACACCAGAGGCACTCCAAGTGGCCAGATATTGGTCAAAGGACATTTAACCAACTACCACATTTGCAAAATCTGTGTGTCTATTTCTTTTTCTTTTTAATCTGTGTGTTTGTTTTGCTCTGTTAGAATTGTAATACAATGGTATGGTTGCTGATGACACAATAAATAAATTGAATGGTTGCCTTTTACATTGAATGGTTGCCTTTTATGGGGAGATGGGGCAGGAAATAAATAAAGTTTGTTTGTTTGTTTGTTTGTTTGTTTGTTGTTGCTGTTGTTGTTATTATTATTTGAAACACAACAAGATGAGTCCACAGCAGACAAGACCACTTTGTTGTGCTGGCTGTTGTATTGGATCACGTGTCGGACACTTCCCAAGTGTCTAGAATTATTATTATTATTATTATTATTATTATTATTATTATTATTATTATTATTATTATTTCTGTTGGAAACAGCAACCTTCTTCAATCCTCCACTAATTAGTTGTTATGTATATAATTGCTTACTGTATTATATGTGTGTATTGGTTTGCATTTTTACCTTAACTCTTTGTTGTGGGAGGGGCTGCAGACCATGTGACCAGAACTGGGCTTGTTCAGGTCTGAGATTCCATTTTATAATATTATGCTTTAGACTCCCAATGTAGAGACTTCCGTAGGAATGGTATGCTATACAGAAGCCATTAGACTTCATTGGACTTTCAGACTAGACAGAGGCTTTATTAGAAAATTTCATTTTCCAAATAACTCAGAAACCACTGGACGAATTGACACCAAATTTGGACACAAGACATCTAACAACCCAATGTATGTCCTTCACTCAAAAAACTGATTTTGTCATTTGGGAGTTGTAGTTGCTGTCATTTATAGTTCACCTACAATCAAAGAACATTCTGAACCCCACCAACAATAAAATTGAACCAAACTTGGCACACAGTTCTCCCATGACCAACAGAAAATACTGGAAGGGTTTGGTGGGCAGTGTCCTTTGGTTTTGGAGTTGTAGTTCACCTACATCCAGAGAGCACTGTGGACTCAAACAATGATGGATCTGGACCAAACTCTACAAGAATACTCAATATGCCCAAATGTGAACACTGGTGGAGTTTGGGGAAAATAGAGTCTTGACATTTGGGAATTGTAGTTGCTGGGATTTATAGTTCACCTACAATCACAGAACATTCTGAACCCATCAACGATAGAATTGGGCCAAACCTCCCACACAGAACCCCCATGTGGGCCACAGCAGCGCATGGCAGGCTAGTATATAAATTAAAATACTCCGAACCAAAGATTAAAATAGCATGAACACAAGACATGGGTTTAATATTCTACGCACCATCCTCCAGCGTCTGTATGTTTATTGGAGTCGAGGTCCGGCTGGCACCGAGCTGAGAATAGGCCACAACGTAGAAAAGGTAGCTGCTGGCAGGGTCCAAGTCCCTGACCTGAAACTCAGTGGTGTCATTGTTCACCGCAAACTGGTACTCCACGTTGTTGGTGCCTAGAGAGGGTACACAACGCTGTCAGACAAAAAAAAGGAGAAGGGTTTGTCCTTTCTTCCAACTTAGCTTCCTTGGCGAGAAGCACAGAAATGTTCTCGATACAGTTTTCGCCCTATTTGGGGCTTTTCATAGCTTGGAGCAACCTTGCCACCATTTCAACACATTCCCTAGCTACTAGGGATGTGCAATCCATTCTTTTAAAAAATGGTTCAAATTTCATTACTAATCTGGGGGGTGCTGGCATTTTGTTTCTAAAGTGTTTCTATAGTAATGAAAAATTCATTACTATAACAAGACTAATGACATTTCATTACTATTTCTTTACAGTAATTGTGCATAATTACTATATTTGGGGAAATGAATTAAAAATTAAATTTTCTACCCCCCTACTAGCTACTTTAGGGAGGCCCCGGTGGCGCAGTGGGTTAAAGCACTGAGCTGCTGAGCTTGTTGATCGAAAGGTCGCAGGTTCGATTCCGGGGAGCAGCGTGAGCTTCCGCTGTCAGCCCTAGCTTCTGCCAACCTAGCAGTTCGAAAACATACAAATGTGAGTAGATCAATAGGTACCGCTCTGGCGGGAAGGTAACGGCGCTCCATGCAGTCATGCCGGCCACATGACCTTGGAGGTGTCTACGGACAACGCTGGCTCTTCGGCTTAGAAATGGAGATGAGCACCACACCCCAGAGTCAGACATGACTGGACTTAATGTCAGGGGACTACCTTTACCTACCTTACTAGCTACTTTAACTGCCATGGCCCAATTTCTAGGTTGGCAAGTCCCTGCTTTGTGCTGGTCAATGACCGTAATAGTATTGTATTGTTTTGTATTGCATTGGTTGGCGAGTCATTGGCAGCTTTGAGCAGAAAAGACCTTGAAAGGACAACTTCCAAGATCCACTGAGTCATGGCAATTTAAGTGGGGTAAAGCAGTATGTGCTCCACAATGTAGATGAACTCTGGGTCATAGCTGGTGTGAATGGGAATCCAAGTCTATTCAATGTGGAATCAACCTTTGCCTTTGCACATTTTTCAAAGAACCATTGCTTTCAAAGAACCATTATTATTATTATTATTATTATTATTATTATTATTATTATTATTATTATTTGAAACACAACAAGATGAGTCCACAGCAGACACTTTGCTGGCTGTTGTATTGGATCACACGTCGGACACTTCCCAAGTGTTTAGGACTGTGTGATGTATCGGCAAATAATGCGTGCAGATCCCAGTAAGGTGGCCTTTTGCAGCTGACAGATGGCAATTTTGTCAGTGCCAATTGTGTTTAAGTGCAGGCCAAGGTCTTAGGCACTGCGCCCAGTGTGCCATTCACCATTGGGACCACCTTGACTGTTGTTATTATTATTATTATTATTATTATTATTATTATTATTATTACTAGATATGTACATATACATAACAACACAACACACATGCACATTAGGTCTGAGTGTCTGGGCTTTGTTTCTGAATATCGGGCTCTTCCCAAGGGCCTGGGATACTAGAAATATTATTATTATCGTTATTATTATTATTATTATTATTATTATTGTCTCACCCCCGTTCATAACTAGTCATTGGATTTTTGTAACTCAAGGACTACCTATATTTGGAAAACAGAAGGTACGCACCCAAGGCTTTCTGATAATGCAAGGAGAAACCAATGATCTGCTCGCTGTTGAACTCGGGTCGTTCCCAAGAAACCAGGACGCTGGTGCTGGAGAGCGAACTGGCTGAGAGCTTCTTGGGTGGGCTGGGCAGCCCTTCGCGCACAATGACCTCCAGCCGGGCGGTGGCACACGCCATGCCCAGGTGGTTCTCGGCCACACACTGGTAGTAGCCGGCATCGTCCAGTCCAATCTGGTTGATGACCAAGGTGCCGCTGGGCTGCATCTTCACCCGTCCTTTGGACGAAAGGGGCTCCCCATTCTTCATCCAGGAGATGCTGGGTTGAGGCTCACCCTCGGCTTTGCAGACAAATCTGGCAGTGCTGGCGCGGGTTCGAGAGATGGTTTCCGGAGCCTGGGAGATGTTCGGGGGAGCTAGATAATAGGAGAGGGGAGAGAGAAATATAATTCAGTACCGGCAGTCCCCAAGTTACAAACAAGATAGGATCACATCGAATAAAACAGTGGCAGTAAAGACTGCAACATTAGGTTTCTCCCAAGGACAACTGCTAAGCATGGAATGGGACCAAGCCAAGGATCTCATTACGCAATGGATCCTGGACATCGAGCACTAATCGGACAGCCTGTGCCCCAGCCTTTATCATTAGTGAAGCGAATAGATACCTCACCGCCTCCATGGCTCATCTAGCAAATCTGGAGGTACCTAAACACTGAAGGGCTTTTACCCTGGCAAGATGCCATGCCTTTCCATCAGTGGTCTTGGAAGGGAGGTATTGGAAGGAGAAATTATGGCCACGTGAGTCCAGACACATAGAAACAACTGAGCATGTTCTTCTTCAATGCATGTTCTACAGAGACATCAGAACTAATCTCAATACACCATGGCTTTCAAAATATCCACGGTGCACCAAAAATATTACTCCACCTTGCTACTTTTCGACTCTAGCACTACAATTGCGAAGTTTTGTGCTGCAGCGCGTAAAATTAGACAGATGATGATCAAGCCCACAAGGCAAGACCCTGTTTGGAATGTAGTTAGAGAAACCTGATACAGCTGAAATGCTACTAGACTAGTAATGTGTCCCTCCCGTCCCCTTTAGTGTTCCCCCCACCCCCTGCCAGTGCTTTGACCCCTTCTATCAGTCTTCCTCCCTTGGTTCCATGCCTGCTACATTAAACTGTGCTTTTAAACTGTGATTCCAAACTGTTTTCTAATCTATTGTCGAAGTTGTTGTGTTTTCTCTGGATTATATGGCCAGGGCCTTCTCGGTGGTGGCCCCTCGGCTTTGGAACTCCCTCCCTAATGAGATCAGATCTCAAATCCTGGTTATGGGATCAAGCTTTTGCAGAATAGATTGTTTTAATAGACAGCAATGGATTGATTTGGAAGACAATGTGAAATAGCAAATTGTTTTAATGTATTTAGAATTGTTTTAATGTATGCTAAATGTATATTATGCTTTGTTTTTATTGTTTGGCACCAAACAGTGCCTGTTGGTAGCCATTCTGAGTCCCTCTTCGGAACTGAGAAGGACGGGATAGAAATGCTCCTAATAATAATAATAATAAATGTTCCAGAAGCATTCTCTCCTGACGTTTTGCCTACATCTATGACAGGCACCCTCAGAGGTAGTGAGGTCTGTTGGAAACTAGGAAAATGGGGTTTATATATCTGTGGAATTGCCAGGATTTTGTTTCTCCCCGTAAAGATGTTCAATGTATTGTCAAAGGCTTTCATGGCTGGAATCACTGGGTTGTAAATTTTTCAGGCTGTATGACCATGTTCCAGGCGCATTCTCTCCTGAAGTGTTCAATGGATTGTCAAAGGTTTTCATGGCTGGAATTACTAGGTTGTTGTAAGTTTTTTGGGCTGTATGGCCATGTTCCAAAAGCATTCTCTCCTCACATCCTCACCTCACAATCGCTGAGGATGACAGCCATAAACGCAGGTGAAACATCAGTAGAGAATGCTTCTGGAACATGGCCATACAGCCCAGAAAACGTACAACAACCCAGACAAGAGTTCTTTCTCCCACTCTGGACATTATTCCGCAGATAAATAAACCTTCCTTGCCTAGCTTCCAACAGACCTCTCACAACCTCTTGAGGATGCCTGCCATAGATGCGGGCGAAATGTCAGGAGATAATTCTTCTGGAACATGACCAGACAGCCTGGAAAACTCACAGCAACGCAGCAATTTGTACATTTGCTTTGATTCCAGATTGCTCGAGGGCCCACAACAACCACATCCCAGGACCAACAAAGGAAGCCTACAATCCACCCAATGCACACAGAAAAGGAAACATGGGGGCACTGATATATATTGTCGAAGGCTTTCATGGCCGGAATCACTGGGTTGTTGTAGGTTTTTTTCGGGCTATATGGCCATGTTCTAGAGGCATTTTCTCCTGACGTTTCGCCTGCATCTATGGCAAGCATCCTCAGAGATAGTGAGGTCTATTGGAACTAAGAAAGTGGGTTTATATATCTGTGGAATGACCAAGGTGGGGCAAAGACCAGGGTGTGGAATGACCAAGGTGGGGCATTGCCAGGCCATCAAATGATAATCAAGGTGGTCAGTTGAAAAATTCACATCTAGCTCCAACAGACAAGAGTTTTTTGCCCCACCCTGGTCATTCCACAGATATATAAACCCACTTTCCTAGTTCCAATAGACCTCACTACCTCTGAGGATGCTTGCCATAGATGCAGGTGAAACGTCAGGAGAAAATGCCTCTAGAACATGGCCATATAGCCCGAAAAAACCTACAACTTGGCACTGATATACTTTTAGAAGTCTTCGCACATTGACAAAATTAACAGCAACCTGCCAATCTGGACCCACTTCAACCTCATAAATGATTCCAGGATCTATTCCACCCTTCTGTTCTTCTCCTTTTTATTCACTGTCACCTTCTTTTTCTCCTTCCATATAACTGCCAGTGGTGTGTATAAGACTTAGGCAATGTGTTTGGCAGAGAGCCCTGCAAGCAAGCTAAAGAAGTGCTGGTCTGATAGAAACATGATCTTCGCCTTTGCCATACCCTTGAGGTTCTCCTGAAGGGAACGATGGGAGAAAAACAAGGGAATGTTTTGTTTTGTTTTATCCTCTCTCTTACCAAGCACCGTGAGCTCAGCCGCAGCCATCACAAACTGCCTGGTTTGGGGTTTGTTGGCCCGGCAGACATAGACACCGGCATGGTGAAGCTGGGCCTGAGGGATCAAGAGGTTGGTGCGTCCCACCACGATCACATCAGTGGCCACAGGGTCCCCATCTGGAAAGGAAAGGCAAATCAAAGTCACAACTGAACAGTGAGGAGCTGTTAGAAACAGAGCTTGGAGGAAGGCTACAACTCTTAGGAACTCGCAGTCAGTGCACAACTCTAGCCAAAACACAACATGATTGCATCAGTTCCTTCATGTGATACCCATATTTGTTCCTCTCAATGGGCCATAGCATTTGAAGAGGATTTCCGATCGGCAAAGGATTGGATCAGAGTATGAATTTGTTATTTGTTAAAGTAGCGTCAAACTGCATTAATTCCACACAATAGAGCAGGCTCGGATCTACACTCGCAGGCTCGGAGATGATAGTTTCTCTGGGCCTGTGTCTGATGTCAATGGGAATAATGGTTTTCTTGGGTCTGGGCTTTCAAGTCCTGGCCTTGTTGAAAAGCCTGGTTCTGGCCTTGCTGAAAGGCCTGAGGTTTCTAATGAATGTAGTGCTTTTCCTGAAGGTCACATTCCTGAAAGGGGCCCACAGCAGCCTTTCTCTGAGCAATTGTCTTCTGAGAATGATTGGTCAGATGCAGAAGTTAATGAGATTGAAGATAGAAGACAAGACTTTTGTAAATTAAGAGAAAGTTCCCAAACTCTCAGAAGATCAGCCCATCTATTAGAAAAGAGGGAAAATAAATCCTGGCTATAAAAGCAAATGGAATGTTTTCCTTTCATTTCATGAGACAGGAAAAGCCTTATATGAGATAGGGAAAGAATTTTAGCTCAGTCTGGTCAACATTTGAGTTTCATGATTTCTTATTTCGAAGTGAATTTCTAGTTTCATGCTTCAAGTTTTGTCAGGTTCCTGTTCTATGTATTGGATCTCCATGCTGTCTTGTTTTTCTGGATTTTGCATCCTTGGATCTTGTGTTTTTACCTTTGTACCTTGAAGTTCATGGACTATCTGTTACCTTTGGAGTACACTGTTTTGGACTATAATCTCTCTACCATTTCTACTGCTTTGCCTACATATATCCTTCAATAAACTGTTTGTTGATTAAACTGAACTGGTGTGGTGTTAAAGGACAGAAGTGTTCCTACTCTGGGATAAGACAATGGCAAACATCCAATACCAGTTATACAATGACAAGACAAACAACGGATAGAGGTATGTATAGGCTTTTTCTCATCATTCGGCATCTTTTGGAGGTTGTGATCGTTCTGGCCAGAGGGGGGTGATGTTGCTACATCTCCTTGCTGAAGAGCTTTCTTTGTTTGTAAACTTTCTTCCGAAATGCTGTGTCTAAAATACCTCCCCGCTTAATGTGGTTCATATTTATCTACTCACATTGCTGTTTTTGATCCACTGGGTGGGCGGGGGAGCTGGGCTGAAGATCAGGAGCTCACCATGACCCAGCTTCGAACTGTCAACCTTTCAGTTGGCAAGACTGACTGCAGCTGGTGATTAACCTACTGTGCTAAAGCTGGCCCAGTTCAAAGCAGATATAGTGGGATATTATTCAGATGTGTCGAAGGGGCTTTAGTCTACATTACCATATAATCCGGATGATCATAACCTGGATTTTACATGGCAATGTAGACGAGGCCGAACTCTGCAATCCTCCTTCTGCAATATCAGTAGAGATTCAGCATTGGGCTACAACTCCCACCTTTTCCTTCTTGTAGCCAGCTTTAAATTTGTGTGGCTAAATTAAGATTCAGCATCATATGTAGTACAGATCCCTCCCTGTGTTCTTCAACTGCTAAAGGGTACCCAGGTTTTAGATCAGGCATGGGGAAACTTCAGCCCTCCCTCCCGTTGTTTTGGACTTCAACTCCCACAATTCCTCACAGCTTCAAGCCCTTTCCTTTCCCCCCACAGCCGCTTAAGTGCCTAAGACTGTGAGGAATTGTGAGAGTTGCCCATGCCTGTTTTTTTCATCTATGGACTGCAATGCCCAAAGTCAGATTCGGTTCACTTTCCCATGCCAATTGGGTAAATGCAAGCTTTCTTCTGAGGAACACGCACCCACAACCCTCCCAACCACTTCAGTACTTCAGCGATCTTTATCACATCTTCTAATCCTAAAATACCTTCAGATAAAGATAAAGATAAGCGGGAGTTATTTCCGCAAAGAACCAACAGATGCACCAGAATCCCCAACAGCCCAGTGAAACCTCTCCAAAAAAGACCCCTTTGATGCCCCCTTGACCATCCAAGTGAGAGGCAGGGGACTGTCATTCAATCCTGTCTGTGACTAATTTAGATCAAAAGGCATCCGGCAACGAGAATTTCATCTCCTTTACAGATCAAACGGAAGAACTAAACAGCTCCTTGGCAAGTGGCGTGGCAAACTCCAATGGTGAAAACTCCAGCTCTGCCAGGTTCGCCTGCAGTCAACTCAGAATGCAGCTACACCGTGGACCTAACACAGTTTGACACCACTTTAACTGCCATGGCTCAGTGCTATAATGGAATTGTTACTGTTGTCATTTGGCGAGGCACTTGCACTCTTTGGCACGACAGGGACATCTTGTAAAATGACAATTCCAAAGAACTCATAGTATTGAGCCACGGTGGTTAAAGTGGGGTCAAACTGGACTAATTCTACAATGCAGATGCATCCAAAGACTCCCCAAAGGAATTTCAACATGCCCCCCCCCCCCCCCAAGGTCTCAATGTTGTTTTTCCAGCCCAGTTTACCTTCCCGTATCCACGAAACAAAAGGAGTCGGGTGGGCAAATGCCATGCATTCCATCACTGCATTTTCTCCCACCACGACGGTGGCATTTTCTGGTGCGGCAACAATGAGGACATCCATCGTCACTGATGGCTGGGGACCTGAAGGAAACAAAAGTCAGATTTCCTCTTCTTCCTTCAATAAAAGAGAGTTTCAACAGGCTTTTTTCAACCTACATGCTGCCTCCTGGATTATCACCTCTGTTCTGAATACACCCATGTCCTCTCTTGATATTGTCTAGGACTCTATGGCAGTGTTTCTCAACTTTTCTAATGCTACAAAGCCTTAATACAGTTCCTCATGTTGTGGTGACCCCCAACCAGAAAATTATTTTCGTTGCTATTTCGTAACTGTAATTTTGCTACTGTTATGAATTGCAACGTAAATATCTGATATGCAGGATGTCTTTTCATTCACTGGACCAAATTTGGCACAAATATCCAGTATGCCCAAATTTGGGAATGGATTGATTTTATCCTTTGGGAGTTGTAGTTGCTGGGATTTATAGTTAACCTACAATCAAGGAGAATTCTTAACTCAACCAATGATGGAATTGAATCATCATGTAAATAACCAATATGCAGGATGTCTTTTCATTCACTGGACCAAATTTGGCACAAATACCCAATACGCCCACATTTGAATACTGGTGGGGTAGGAAGGGGTTGATTTTGTCATTTGGTAGTTGTAGTTGCTGAGATTTATAGTTCACCTACAATCAAAGAGCATTCTGAACTCCACCAACAATGGAATTCAACCAAACTTGGCACACAGAAGTCCCATAACTAACAGAAAATACTGGAAGAGTTTGATGGGCATTGGCCTTGAGTTTTGGAGTTGTAGTTCACCTAAATCCAGAGAGAACTATGGACTCAAACAATGATGGTTCTGAACAAAATTTGGCATGAATATTCAATATGCCCAAATGTGAACACTGGTGGAGTTTGGGAGAAAAAGACCTTGACATTTGGGAGTTGTAGTTGCTGGGATTTATAGTTCACTACAAACAAATAGCATCCTGAACCCCACCAACAATAGAATTTGGACAAACTTCCCACACAGAAACCCCCCCCCCACCCCCGCCTTGAAGGGATTCGCTGGCACAAGCTACCCTTCAGCCTCACATGCTCTCCCTCACCCGCACATGCGCACCACACTACCATGCGCCAAGTATGCCTGCTCTCCCCTCTCCACTTGGCGTCTCAGAAACAGCCCTCTCCTTGGCTGAAAGGCAGGCCAATCACAGAGGAGGAGAGCTTTTGGTGAGAGGATTCACCATCTGTTTCCAAAAAGGAAGCGAAGGACAGATGGAGAGATCTTCAGTATTCTCTGCCAATATAAGTTTTCTGATGGTCTTTGGCAACCCCCCTGAACCCAACCCCCCCACAACACCCTCAGGGGTCCCAACCCCAAGGCTGAGAAATGCTGCTCTATGGTGTGCTTGGGCAGAATCATAGAATCATAGAATCAAAGAGTTGGAAGAGACCTCATGGACTATCCAGTCCAACCCCCTGCCAAGAAGCAGGAATATTGCATTCAGATCACCCCTGACAGATCACCCATGACAGATGAAGATTTTCATCTCAGTTGGGTTCCCTATTATTCATGGTTTTGTGTATCCATACAATTCATCAAGGAATGTTTCCTCTCCACACTATGTATTTCATCAATACTAAGGCACACTTTTTCCCCATATATAAACATCTTATTGTATTGTAATTTGTTGTTTGGGCTTGGCTTCATGTAAGCCGCTCCAAGTCCCCGTTGGGGAGATGGTGGCGGGGTATAAATAAAGATTATTATTATTATTATTATTATTATTATTATTATTTTATAATAGTTTTTATTAAGATTTTAAAAATAACATCGAAAGAGGGAGAATATTAAAAAAGATGATAGGAAAGTAGGGGGAAAAAAAGAAGTACATCCCCCTACCCCCAAGTCCACCAAAAAATACTAATATATATATATATATATATATATATTTAAAAAAACAAGAGAAAAAAGAAAAAAAGATAAGATAAAAATTGACTTCCATCTCTCCATCAGGTGTTGTGTCCTCAATGATATTTCCATTATATCCACTTAATAATGTTCCTCTTATTTATTTATTTCCTTTTCGTAGTTTTCATATAGAGTCCAATCTGTCCTCTTTATCGGGTTCCCGGTATTCTTTTTCAAGAAAAAAGTTAATTTGTCCATTTCTCTTATTTCTCTTAGTTTCCCTAACCATTATTATTATTATTATTATTATTATTATTATCATCGTCATCTCTAAAACCTGGGTGCATCTTCGAATCGCTGGTGGTGGTGATGCCAAAATTACAATAGAAGAAGCATGGTATTATTTTCCAGCAGATCCTTCACGCAAAGTGTATTTGAAAATAAAGCCTCTGCTCTTTTTTTGGATTGCTAGTTTCCCTCAAATATATTCACAAAGAAAGAGGAGGTGAAATGGGGCAGATCTATTTTGTTTTTTTGCAAAGCTCTCCGACAATCCTGGCAAGCTGGCCTCTTTTGCTATCTGCAGAAGAATGGACCAAAGAAAAAGAAAGAAATAAAGAAATCATGCACGGATCCCTTTTCTCTCCGAACAGCTGCTGAAAAGGCTGGGCTCCATTCCCTCCGTTCCCAGGAGAGGTTTTCGAGGAGGGGGCTCAATAAGGTTGCAAGCTCCTCCTTGGGCAAAAGGGTGAGAAAGTTCACAACAAAACAGCCGAGAGAGCGCTTGACAGCCCGGTTGTCTCATATACACAGACAGCTGGGAACGAAAACTCTTCTCCATCTCATTCCCTTCCTTGGACCTGCAGTGTGCTGGCGCTCCAAGAGTGAAATGTTTTTGGGAACAGTTTCCAAGGTCTGGCCATCTCTATGGTGTAATGGATAGAGCAACCACTACCTCATCACACTAGAGAATTAATCCACTTTAAATTCAGTTTCTGCCTCCTACAGAATTTTTGGGTTTGTAGTTTAGTGAGACTGTTAAACGCTCCTCCCTAAACTACAAAACCCAGAATTCTGCAGGAGGCAGCAACTGGATTTAAAGTGGGATCATTCTCTAGTGTGATAAAATAGTTAGTGTGTGGCTCAAGTATATTCAGAATTACAGATTCCTCGTCAAAGAAAATCAGGTTTCCCAATGGCTACGGGTGCATCTTGCACATTGACTCCAAGGGTCGAGAATCCAAATGCTGCTGGACTGTAAGGCCCAGCATTCCTAGGCTACACAGTCAGTGGTAGGGAATGCTGGGACTTTGCATTTGGGGTGCCACCAAATCCTCATCCATAGCTGAAATCCAAATGCCCAGACCCAACAAGTTAGAATGAAGGGTGCATCTATGTCATGGGCAAACTTGGGCACTCCAGGTGTTTTGGACCTCAATTTCAGACATCAGGTCCCTTCCTTTTCCCCCTCAGCTGCTTAAAGGAAGGGACCTGAAGCCAGGAATTGTGGGAGTTGAGGTCCAAAACACCTGGAGGGCCCAGGTTTGCCCATGCCTGGTCTACACTGAAGAATGAATGGAGTTTGGCGCCACTTGAGCTGCCATGTCTTCATAGAATCCTAGGAGAGTGAAAACAACAGTTCCCAGGATTCCATAGCAATGAGCCATGAAGTGAGTCATAGAACCATAGAATCATAGAGTTGGAGGAGACCTCATGGGCCATCCAGTCCAACCCCATTCCGCCAAGAAGCAGGAAAATTGCATTAAAAGCACCCCTGACAGATGGCCATCCAGCCTCTGTTTAGAAGCTTCCAAAGGAGGAGACTCCACCACACTCCAGGGCAGAGAGTTCCACTGCTGAATGGCTCTCACAGTAAGGAAGTTCTCCCTAATATTCAGATGGAATCTCCTTTCCTGTAGTTTGAAGCCACTGTTCCATTGCGTCCTAGTCTCCAGGTCAGCAGAAAACAAGCTTGCTCTCTCCTCCCTATGAATTCCTTTCATGTATTTATACATGGCTATCATGTCTCCTCTCAGCCTTCTCTTCTTCAGGCTAAACATGCCCAGCTCTTTAAGCCGCTCCTCATAGGGCTTGTTCTCCAGACCCTTGATCATTTTAGTCACCCTCCTCTGTACACATTCCAGCTTGTCAATATCTCTCTTCCAGTGTGGGGCCCAGAAATGGGCACAATATTCCAAGGCGGAATAGAGCATGTCAATGAGCCGTAAATGTTGTCCAACTGCTTTGGTTCCACAACATAGATGCACCTCAGGCCTCATCTCGACAAAAGTAGGATTTCTCCTTGCTTGCTCTTGCTACCCATATCTTGTGCAAAATTGGATGAAGCAAAACAGAATGCGGTTGTATCCTCCATGCCCATTTTTGTGATCTTGCCCCACCATTCTGTAAAATGGGTGCATGGTACCGTTTCTGTGGATATCCATGCCACGAAACCCCGTCATGTAGGACCTCAGCCAATGCCTTTCTTTTTGTGCTGAAAAGGTGGCAGGAGATTGGCCCCTTGAGCCCATCCTGCTAAAACGGCACCTTGGCAACATCGGGGAATCACTGTGTGGGGGGATGCCACAGCTTTGGCAGGAAAATCTGTTCCTGGAGAATTGGGATTTAATCAGCTGTGATTGGAGATGACACGACGGAGATTGCTCCTGGTGGAACATCATTGAAGCTGACAGCCCTAATCGCTCATTGTGCCTGAGTCCCAGCGCGAAGCCTGTTTGCGCCGTCAAATATTTGCACAAGACGTGGGTAGAAAGCACAGACAGGGAGAAATCCCATTATTGTCTAGATGGGATGCATCTATACTGTGGAATAAAAACAGCTTGGTATCTTGTGGTGCAAACTACAACTCCCAGGATTTCATAGCATTGTCCCATGGTGGTTCAAATTGTGTCAGACTGCATCCATTCTACATTGTCCAATTAGGTCCAATGTGCAAAGAGGGCCAGATTTGGTGAGGTGAAAATGTGTACGGGCCGACCATTCAGCCTGACATTATTTGAACCATTAAGTGCAAATGAGAGATTTTATGAAATTTTGCAAATTTTCATTTCACAAGTTTTTACAAAAATCTGCCTTTCATATTTGAAGAATGTATAAAACAAAGAAAGGGTCTGTCTTTAAGATTAGACATATCTAGGTATGTTTGAAACATTACAGAATGGGGGACACCTGGCTCAAGAGCAATACGTGTGAAAAAGATCTTGGGGTCCTCATGGACAAAAAGTTAAACATGAGCCAACAATGTGATGCGGCGGCAAAAAAAAGCCAATGCGATTTTGGCCTGCATCAATAGGAGTCTAGTGTCTAGATCCAGGGAAGTCATGTACTGCACACTCGCAGGACTCTCATGACCAACAGAAAATACTGTGTTTTCTGATGGACTTTGCCATCCCCTCTGACACACACCCCCCCCCCCTTGCAACCTCTCCAGCGGTCCTGACCCCAGGTTGAGAAATGCTGCTATAGTTGACAAGCTGGAATGTGTCCAGAGGAGAGTGACTAAAATGATCAAGGTTCTGGAGAACAAGTCCTATGAGGAGCAGCTTAAGGAGCTGGGCATGTTTAGCCTGAAGAAGAGAAGGCTGAGAGGAGACATGATAGCCATGGATCAAGATGTGAGGGGAAGTCACAGGGAGGAGGGAGCAAGCTTGTTTTCTGCTGCCCTGGAGACTAGGACGCAATGGAACAATGGCTTCAAACTACAAGAAAGGAGATTCCATCTGAACATTAGGAAGAACTTCCTTTCTGTGAGAGCTGTTCAGCAGTGGAACTCTCTGCCCCGGAGTGTGGTGGAGGCTCTTTCTTTGCAAGCTTTTAAGCAGAGGCTGGATGGCCATCTGTCAAGGGTACTTTGAATGCAATTTTCCTGCTTCTTGGCAGAATGGAGTTGGACTGGAGGGCCCATGAGGTCTCTTCCAACTCTATGCTTCTATATGTGGGCTGCATATTGTTGATTTTATGAGAGAGGCTGCAGGCTGGTGGAGATTTGAACATGGGCCACGATTGGCCTCTGGGCCAAACTTTGGACATTCCTGGTGTTGATGCTCCCAGGAAACAAAAGACGATGGGAAGTGAGTAGCAAGGGACTTCCTGAGATCTAGAAAGGGAACTCAAGTGACCAGCTCCAGGACCCTTCCCTCTCCAACCCCTTTCTTCCCAGCCTTTCCCTCCCCACCAAGACATTTCCTCCGCATGACAACAACGTCTCCATTTCAGGGCTGTGAAAAAGATCTGCTTGTGCAGCCAAGCCCCCATTCCCTCCTCCCCGATCCTTGGCATGCAGCTCCCTACGGAGTGTCTGGAAATTTACACCATGAAGTCTGCTGGACCGAAACATCTGCCACTCATTCTCCCCATCCGTTGCCCATGGCCACAGTTGCTGCCCGGACCCCAACCCGGCTACTGACACGGAAGCCGACAACACTCGGTGACTTTCCAAGGAGACTCAGACCCCAATGCAATGCTGTGGAGCATGAACCTCCAATGCATTTTGGCTGGGTCAAGTGGAAGATTGTTGCTTCCTTTTTCCAAGGGCAAGGATCGGAGTTGCCTTGGGGGATTTCCTATGCAGATCCAGGCGTCAAAGCGATGTCAAACTGCATGCATTCCACACTCTAGATCAAGGGTCCTCAAACTACGGCCCGGGGGCCGAATACGGCCCTCAAAGGTCATTTACCCGGCCCTCACTCAGGGTCAACCTAAGTCTGAAATGACTTCAAAGCACACCACAACAACAACAACAACAACAATCCTATCCCATCAGCCAAAAGCAGGCCCACACTTCCCAATGAAATATTAATAAGTTTATATTTGTTAAAATTGTTATTCATTTTAATTATTGTATTGTTCTAAAGTATTTTTTGCACTACAGATAAGATACGTGAACTGTGCATAGAGATTCATTAATTTTTTTTCAAATTATAATCCGGCCCTCCAACAGTTTGAGGGACTATGACCTGGCCCTCTGTTTAAAAGGTTTGTGGACCCCTGCTCTAGATGCCCTCTACAACCCTCCTTCTTCAACGTCTATAGAAATTCAGCCCTGGACTGCAACTCCCACCTTCCTTCCTTCCTTCATAGCCAGCTTTAAATTTATCCCACTAAATTAAGATTCAGCATCATATATTAAAAGTTCAGGTGGCAACTCAGGCTCCATCTACACTGCCACATAAAACTCACATTATCTGCTTTGCACTGTGTTATATGGCAGTGTAGATCCCATCTCAAAGTGCACATACACTGTAGAATGAATGAAGTTTGTCACCACTTGAATCGCAATGGCTCAAGGCTAAGGGATTCTGGGAGTTGTAGTTTGGCCAAGAAGGTCAAAGACCCTTTAGAACTACAACTGCCATGATTGCATAGTATTGGGCCATGGCCATGAAAGTGATGCCAAACTGTATCCATTCTACAGTGCAGATGCACCTTCAGAGGGGACCGTTACGAAAGTCGCCAGCCACTACTGGCTGCAGTCACACAACCATACATTTCGGACAAACCCCCTTTATATAATATCATCCAGATATTTTCATGTCACATGCCAATATGCAAAAGCATTGATTGGAAACATTTACCTTCTAAAAGGTTGAGGACTGCGTCAGAGCTGTAGCGTTTTCCTGCCCTGTTTGTGGCCACACAGCGGTAGACCCCTGCATCACTCTCTTGCACATCGATGATCTGGAGGACACCGTTTGGGAGCATTATAAACCTGCAGAAAGTGAAACACGTCAAGAGACCACTTCTTCACCATGCTAAATGGAACCAAAATGTCAATTCCTACCATGCGCACTTCTATCACACCCTTGAAGGCTATGCCTGTATTCCTCGGACATCTCACCTGTCTCCTGAAGAAACTTCTACTCTGTCCTTCTCCCAAGAGATCACTGGTGGAGGCAGCCCTTCTATCCGACACTCAAAGCGACACATGCCATTCTCTTCCACTGTTTGGGACTCTGGATGGTGAAAGAATGGGGGCAAACCTAGAGAAAAAATAATGGCAGAGAGTGGAGAAGTTGAGGAACAAGAGAAAGTTGAAAGAAGACTCATTGCACTGGTCTTTTTCAGGAAATCGGGCAAGTATTTCCCCACAAACAGAGAAAGAATGTTGTTGAAGGGATGCCAACAGGGACTGGCATCTCCTTGGACAGTTACAAGTGAATTGGCTAAACTTACACACTAGTAACTGCTCAATACAGTGCAACAACAACAACAACAACAACAACAGCAACAACAACAACAACAAAATTACAGTTGTTATTATTATTACTATTATTACACTAGGTAAAGGTAAAGGTTTTCCCCTGACATGAAGTCCAGTCAGGTCCGACTCTGGGGTGTGGTGCTCATCTCCATGTCTAAGCCAAAGAGCCGGTGTTGTCCATAGATACCTCCAAGGTCATGTGGCCGGCATGACTGCAAGGAGTGTCGGTTCCGGCCCAGTGTATTTGTCCGAACGGATCTCCCTCTACATCCCATCTCAAAATTTAAGATCGTCTGGGGAGGTCCTGCTCTCGACCCCGCCACTATCACAAGTGAGGTTGGCGGGGACGAGGAGCAGGGCCTTCTCAGTGGTGGCCCCTCACCTGTGAAACTCACTCCCCGGGGAGATTAGATCAGCGACTTCCCTTTTGGCATTCAGGAAAAACTAAAGACCTGGATATGGGACCAAGCTTTTGGACATTCTGGCAGTTAAGGGAAGATCTGATGATATACAGGGGCGAATGGAATGGAATGGATATACGGAACTCTGAACACTGAGCACGAGGTTGTTCTGCTATTTTATTATGTATTAATGTTTTAACCTGTTAATTGTTTAAATTGTTTTATGTATTGTTTGTTTAATTGATTCAGGCATCGAATTGTGCCTTTGTTTGTAAGCCGCCCTGAGTCCCCCCCCCCCCGGGGGTGAGAAGGGCGGGGTAGAAGTAACTGAAATAAATAAAATAAATAAAATAAATACCTTCCCGCTGGAGCGGTACCTATTGATCTACTCACATTTGCATGTTTTCAAACTGCTAGGTCGGCAGAAGCTGGGACTGACAGCGAAAGCTCACGCTGCTCCCCGAATTCGAACCTGTGATCTTTCAGTCAACAAGCTCAGCAGCCCACTGCGCCACCGGGGGCTCCAATTATTACACTACAGTTACTATTATTCCTAGTTTTATGTTTCCATGATAAGTTACTCCAGTTACTGAGAGTTGAAGCCCAAAACATCTGGGGACCCACAGGTTAAGAACCACCTGCTAGAGTGACCCAGGAAGACGCAAAAATGTTAAGAGGTATCATCCCTAGTAATTTGCTAGATCTTCCAAAGTGACTCTATAGCAGTGGTTGTCAACCTGTGGCTCCCCAGATGTTTTGGCCTTCAATTCCCAGAAATCCTGGTAAACTGGCTAGGATTTCTGGGAGTTGTAGGCCAAAACACCTAGAGACCCACAGGTTGAGAACCACTGCTCTATAGTAACATCTAGTGTTTGCATATCACAGGATTGGCAACAGTCCTAGAAAATCCTGAGAGGACATGCTTTGTTGAATACGGGGAGGTCTATTCCTGTTGATGATCATTATCACAATCATGAATGGGCACCTAAACTGGCCTTAGCAGCCAGTAGCTGCATCAGGCGATGGATATCACTTCTGGGAATTAAGGGAATGCAAGACCGGCCTTAAATGTTGGGTTGGCAAAGTCAAACCCAACATTATCCAGCAGCAATTCTGGATAATAAGAGACGAAGGATATGTGCAAACTCAAGGTTAGCTGGTAGATCAACAGTTGAGTTGCAAGGCTGGACTTTTGCATACATCCCTCACAGAGGCGGTCCTAGGTAATTTTCAATGGTAAGCAAACAGTATTTTGGCGCCCCCCCCCCCCCCCAAAACCAATCACTATCTATCTATCTATCTATCTATGGGGGCATGGACAAATTTTGGCCCTCCAGGTATTTAGGACTTCCTACTGGCTGTTTGGAATTGTGGGAATTGAAGTCCAAAACACATGGAGGGCTGAAGTTGGCCCATGCCAGCCATACATACACACACACACACACTAGCCATCCCCTGCCACGCGTTGCTGTGATCCAGTCTAGTGATCTTGAAAAGAAAGTAATAAGAAAGTTGGTTTCTAATATATGTAATTTCTTAATGCTTGTGGGTAAATAGTATTTCTTGTTGTTTCTTTGTCAGTGTTGATGTAGTTCCAACACAAAATACTGAAGGGATTTGGGGAAAATAGACTCTGATACTGGAGGGGTTTTGGGGAAACATGTACAATAATTTAGATTTGCAGTACCTTCAGTCACTTCCGTTCATGAAGAAACCTCCTTGCCGCCCTGAGAGGGGTGATGGCACAGCTGCCTGGAGAGGCACTTGCAATGCTGCCCCTCTTCACACAGGAGAAGAGGCCCTGTGCTCCATCGGCTCCTGGGTATGCGCTTTGCATTCTCTTCCCCCACACGCTTTGCAACTCCGGGAGAGGGACACGCGCCGGCATTACCAGGCACACGGAAAAAGAGCCCTCATGCAGGGAGCATGCTCTCCCTCCATCCTTCCCTCACAAGTGCGCACGTTGTCCTCCTCTCCTCCTCCTCCTTGCAGGCCAAGGGAGACAACAACGCCAGTGTGCATCCTTCTCCCAGCGTTAGGAAGTGCATGGAGAAGGAGGGCGATGCAGGGCGCACATTTCCTAATGCCGAGAGAGGGATGCGCAGCGGCATTGCCGGGCACGTGGGAAAAGAGGCCTCGTGCATGCCTCTTTTGTGTTTCATCTTGGGTGCTATCTTTGAAATGTGTCATTGTGTATGTAAACAGCTATCCCATGATCCCAAACATTTTATTTATTTATTTACAGTATTTGTATACCGCTTTTCTCACCCTCAGGAGGACTCAAAGTGATTTACACACTTCTAGTTCAAAGCACTTTGGATCAGGGATACTCAACCTGTATTACATTACAAACTGCTAGACCGGCTGTTAGGTATTGTGGGAGTTGAAGTCCGAAACACCTGGAGGGCTGAAGTTTGCTCTTGCATGTGCTTGACCCAGAAGCAGATGAAGAGCCCTCCTTCCATCCAACTGCCACTGCTTTGGCCTTGGAGAAACAGGTGGCATGTGAAGCCATGGAGCCCTTCCAGACAGGCCCTATGCCGCATTATCACAGGGTGTTTACGCCCTACACCACTGGAAAAATTATACTGCCTAGCCGGTATTGCACCACCTGACATCCGCCGGGAAGTGGCGGCCAATAGTGAAAGGACCAAGGCAGAGACATCTCCAGCTCATCCCCTGTTTGGGTATCAGCCAGCACGTCAACAACTTAAATCTAGAAATAGTTTTCTAAGATCTACAGAGACACTCGCTGGAACACCTCAGCAAGCGAGAGTCCAAAAGTGGCAGGCTCAAACCCAGAACCTCAATCAATGGCTGATACCAAATGAGAGACTCCCCGCTGGGCACACAAGAGGACTGGGCGACTTGGAAGGTGCTGAACAGACTGCACTCTGGCACCACGAGATGCAGAGCCAACCTTCAGAAATGGGGCCACAAAGTGGAATCCACGACATGCGAGTGTGGAGAAGAGCAAACCACTGACCACCTGCTGCAATGCAACCTGAGTCCTGCTACATGCACAATGGAGGACCTTCTTGCGGCAACACCAGAAGCACTCCAAGTGGCCAGATACTGGTCAAAGGACATTTAATCAACTACCAAGCTTGCAATTTTGAGTTTTGTCTGTTTGTTTTGCTTTGTTCTGTTAGAAATGTAACATAATTTGACTGGTTGTTCTGACATGACAAATAAATAAATAAATCCCAGGTTTTCAGCTTTAAACTGGATCATATGAGTCCACTCTGCCAGATAATCCAGGATAAACAGAAAACCTGCAATCACATCCTGGGATATAGGGCCTGTCTGGACAGGCCCTTCATCCCTTCCCACACTGGCATCCTTTTGCCTTTGTGTCATGTTTTAATTAAATTATACACCTAAGGGCAGGGGAGCATTTTGTTGTTGCTTTACTCGTACAGTGACAGTGTTACACAGTTAGTGTTCTGCAACCACTGCTTCAACCATCCATGGTTTGAAAACATTTTTTTTTAAAAAAATCCCAAAGCAGTCTTTGATTTTGCCACTTTGTACTGTGGAAATATAAATATAGAGCTCCATAGTGTCTCGTCCAACAGCAGTTGGGATTGAGCCCTGGAACTGATGGAAGGATAAGTGGAAGGACAAGAGTTAGCAACCCAAAAGACACTGCTGCAAAATGTAATTGCTAAAATATCAAAGTCAAAATATTATCCAAATTTAAACTATTCGGCCAGCAATGGAAAGGAATCACACAGGATCATATTTTTGCAGTCCATTAAGTGTGTTGATGACAAATCAGATAAAGGAATACTGGGGAAATTAATATAAAGCAGTGTGTATAAAGGGACATTACATTTGGTAATCTAATGCAGGCTTTAAAAGGTTTTAAAGATCAAGTCAGGGTCTGCTGCAGTTTTTAGTTTTGGATATGTTTTTTATGGATTTTAACTGAATTTTTAAAATACCAATGATATTTAATTCCATTTTAATGTTTGCATATTTGTGGATTTTAAACTGTACTGAAATGTTTTTAATCTAAGCCAACTTGAGTCTTCTTGGGGAGAGAAAAAGCAGGGTATAAATAAACATAATAATGTGTTGAGGAAGGCTTTCATGGCCAGAATCACTGAGTTGCTGTGAGTTTTCTGGGCTGTATGGCCATGTTCCAGAAGCATTCTCTCCTGACATTTTCCCCACATCTATGGCAGGCAACCTCAGAGGAACAAAATCTGGCTACCAGTACCCTCTAAAATAACCCTCTAAAATCAGAACAATAAACAAAGAGCAACACTAAAAAAGGGGGGAATTCCTGACATGAAGCAATCAGGGCCAGTTAACCGCTCCCAACAAAGGATTCCTGGGCAGCAACTAGCTCGGCTTCGAAGCTGCAAGGCCATTAAATACTCATCAAGATGACCAATTGCAACATTCACACTTACCTCAAGCAGACATGAGTTCTTTTTCCCACCCTGGACATTCCACAGATATATAAACCTCACTTGCCTAGTTTCCAACAGACCTCACAACCTCTGAGGATGCCTTCCATAAATGTGGGCGAAATATCAGGAGAGAATGCTTATGGAACATGGCCTCTTGAGGGTGCCTGCCATAGATGTGGGTGAAACATCAGGTGAGAATGCTTCACCAAGCACCAAAGAGCATTCTGAACTCCACCAATAATAGAACTGAACCAAACTTGGCATACAGGACTTCCATGACTAACAGAAAATACTGGAGAGGGGGCTGGGAAAAATAGACCCTGACATTTGGGAATTGCAGTTTACCAAGCACCAAAGAACATTCTGAGCTCCACCAACAATAGAATTGAATCAAGCTTGGCATATAGGACTTCCATTACCAAATACTAGAGGGGTTTGGGGGAGGCATGTACAAAAGATGACATTTGCAGTCCCTTTTGACCAGGCCTCCTTGCTGCCCTGAGAGGGGTCCAGGCTCAGCTGCAGGGAAGGAAAGGGAAAGCGAAAGAGCCTGGCTGGCTGCCTCCCTCCTGGCAGCACGTGGAGGGAGGACTTCCCTCTCGCCTAGTGGGCGGGGCCTGCACTTCTCCATTAGAAGGCTGTTGAGGGCGCATGGGGCCTGCAGGAGGAGGCGTGGCCTAAGGACAGAACAGCGCCCCCTGGCAAAAAAAGTATTCCGCGACCGCTTACTTCGAGTAATGGACGGGCCGGCCCTGATCCCTCATCACTTGTATCCAAAACTGAGCCTACCCAAACCAGATAATGGTACTTTCAGCTACCCAGAAGGACTGGCAACCTTAGAGGTGATCCTCAAAGTCAAGTTGACACACCTTTGAAACAGTTGGTAAAATCTTGCCTTATTGCAATGGATATGGGGAATACTCACTTGCAACACGAAGCACAACGGTCTGCCCTGCAACCGAACCAAATGGGCCATGCGAGATGCAGGAGTAGTTGCCCTCCACAACACTTTCTCTTAGAGACTTGTCATCCTCCAAAGCTGCATATGCAGACGAAACAAACAAAGAGCCATTGGGGAGGACATGGAGGTTGTCTTCTTCTTCTGAGAGTGGAAGTCCATTCTTCTTCCAGGAAACGTTGAAGACTTGTTCAACGGGAGACAAGCTGCAGCTCAACTCCAGAGTCTGGTTTGGCTCCAACATCACCTGGGTGGGGCCAAGGCCACAGCTCAGGTCCAAAGACGATATCCCTACAACAAAAGCATACAAGTTTCTCATAGGGGTCCATTTGTTAGATAGACAATGCATTGTTAGATAGGAATGCATTGACTGTAACCCTCTTGTGCAAACCTGATGTAAAAATACAGTTCTAATGGGCATGTGGTCACACACCTGCTGAAGGGTTAAATGGGTGGTGATGTGGCACTTAAGGGGCATGCTGAAGAAGCTGGGTCATGACAATGTGACAGTCATGACAAGGGTTGGATCATTCATTTTTTGTCCCTGGTTGACAACGAGCAAGTAATGGGTATAAGAGAGGGCAGGAAGCATGTGTTCTTTCTCTTGCCATGATTATCTTGCTTCTTGCCTCACATCTGTTGGTGATATCTGTTATGTACACCATTAGTATATCTCTGTATATATCATTGACTGATAGATCAGGGGATCCTGATGTGAGTATATAGCTGTACATAAAGCAACATGTCAAGATTAAAAGCCTCCACTATGAGTTGGGATGAAAACTGAGTGAAAGGGTTATCTTAAATAGTGATCGGCCCAAGGACAGACTGTGCAATAAAACTTTGCTGACAACTGATAAGGATTCTACTATATATGGGTAATTTTTCCTGGCTTGTCTCTGAGACAATCAGTCCAGTGCACAGCATATTTAGGGAAGGCGTGATTGGAAAGAGAAAACTATAAATCACACATCTATCACGCCTTCGACGGCATTCACATGGTAGTTTGACACTACTTGAGTTGCCACAACTTAGTTTGGTCCCGGGATCAGTCTATTTTAGCCTGTGAATTTTACTCTGAGTTTATCAGTGAATTTTAACTGTGTTCATCTTGTATTTTAATAATGTTTTATCTCTTTGTTTGAATGATGTTTTATTCCACCTTGAGCTGCAAGGAGATGCGGGTAACAAATGTATTATTATTATTATTATTATTATTATTATAGGAGCCCCCGGTGGCGCAGTGGGTTAAACCCCTGTGCCGGCAGGACTGAAGACCGACAGGTCGCAGGTTCGAATCCAGGGAGAGGTGGATGAGCTCCCTCTATCAGCTCCAGCTCCTCATGCGGGGACATGAGAGAAGCCTCCCACAAGGATGATAAAGCATCAAATCATCCGGGCGTCCCCTGGGCAACGTCCTTGCAGACGGCCAATTCTATCACACCAGAAGCGACTTGCAGTTTCTCAGGTCGCTCCTGACATGACAAAAAAAATATTATTATTACTATATTTGTAGTTTGGTGAGACATCAGCACACTTTGGCAAAACAAGGCAACACAACCCACTGCTTATTTTTATTTATGGATATTTCTTGTGTCAATTTAGTATGTTTTGTTTTTAACTATCACATTGATATTGCTTTGTTATTATTTGTTTAATTTGATTTAATCATAAATTGATTATATGTTTATCATTGTCCACATTGTTTGCACTGTCATATTATTGTTAAGCCACTCCAAGTCCCCTCGGGGAGATGGGGTGGAATATAAATGATGATGATGATGATGATGATGATGATTATTATTATTATTATTATTATTATTATTATTATTGAGTTTGTCAAGCCACCATTCCCATGATTCCACGGCATTGTACCATGGCAGTTACAGTAGTGTGCAATTCTACAGTGTAGATCAGGCATGGGCAAACTTCAGCTCTCCGGCTGTTTTGGACTTCAGCACCCACAATTTCTAACAGCTGGTGGGAGTTGAAGTCCAAAACACCTGGAGTTGAAGTTTGCCCATGTCTGGTGTAGATGCACCCAGGGACATGGTGACATCTACAGTCAACTTTCAACACTTACAAGAGTTGGACTTTAATTATTTATAGATGAAAATCTCCAGGTCCTCCAATATGGTCAAATTGAGACAGACATCACACTGAATTACTGAGAAATTACTAGAGGAAATACTTCTCTATGCATATGTCGTTCCTTCTGTGCATCAACATCTGGCACAACTGTACTACAAGGCTACAGAATCCTAGAAAAATGTAGTTTGGGGAGGCATCAACACTCTTTGGCCAAGAAGACTAAAGACGTTGTGAAGCTACAGCTCCCAGGACTGCATGGCCTAGACCCCTGGTTGTGAGAGTGGCGCCAAACTGCATTCATCCTGCCGTGTAGATGCACTCTTGGGCTCAAGGGTCAATGGAGACGCCACCGAGACCCGCACGGCAGCTGCCACTGCCTTTGTGCATGACCCGCACACTCACAAACACACATTGGTTGGCTGCACTATTTGAAGACGGGGCCTCAAATGATTTTGTCATGGTGCCAACAGCAAATGTTTCCTGGCCCCACCGTGAGTTTATCGGCCGGGCTATGAATCCAATGGCTCCATGCCCAGAGCCGATCATAGATTGATTTTATAGCAATTCCAAGCACCCTATTAAACCTCCCAATTGCTCCTGTGGATAAAAAAGGCCACTTCTGTGGAGGTGGGAAAGTGAAAGGAAGGGACAGCAGTTGGGGAATGTCACAATGAATGGCAACCATATCCAACACAGAGAAACCACTTTCTGGAAGGAGTACAACTTTGAATATGTTTTTGATAGATTTTAACTGTGATTTTTTTAGTGCGCTTTGTGTTTAGTTCTGTTTCAACGTTTGTATATTTTAAACTGCATACTAATGCTTTCATGTCAAGCTGTTTTGAGTCCCCTTTGGGGAGATAAAGTGGGGAATAATAATAACAATAATAATAATAAATTATTAATAAATAATTGCAAAGACTCTGGCACAAACCAGTAAAGGTGGTCCTAGTGGTGATTGGCACACTGGGTGTAGTGCCTAAAGACCTTGGCCTGCACTTAAACACAATTGGCGCTGACAAGATTACCATCTGCCAGCTGCAAAAGGCCACCTTACTGGGATCTACACGCATTATTCGCCGATACATCACACGTCCTAGACACTTGGGAAGTGTCTGACGTGTGATCCAATACAACAGCCAGCAGAGTGTCTGCTGTGAACTCATCTTGTGGCGGTTCAAATGATGAAGAAGAAGAAGAAAGTAGTCAAAAATGCCTTTTGGGTGAGTAAAGCAAGAAACTGCAGGGTTAAAGCATCCTTCTTCAATCATAAAGTACATCTCTACACTATAGCATTGATGTAGTTTGACACTAGTTTAATTGCCATGGACGTTGCAGTTTTGCACGGTCTGTAGACTTCTTGGCCCAAGAGTGCTGGTGACTCACCAAGGTACAACACACATTATTTCATACCATTGAGGCATGGCAGTGAAAGTGATATCAAGCTGTGTTAATTCTACAGTGTAGAACACATGCCTCCGTACCCTCCTATTCAACCTCTGCCATCCCATTTTCTCAGCTGCTTTGGAAACGTCCCGGTTTCTCCCTCTCCTTCCCATTTTCCCATTTGTCCTCAGCTTATTTCAACTGCTGCAAATATAGTTCGAAGTAGAGTTTGCACACATTGGGTCTTTTTAGAGGAATCATAAGTCAGAAATGACTTGAGGGTCCACACAGCCAGCTATGTACAAAATCATGGGCACCACACTCTTTGGCAGAGAAGGTGACAGCCTTTGGAAATGTACAACTTCAACAATCCCAAAGTCTGACTGGCTGTTTCATAGCACATCTCGGCTTAGCTGGCTCTTTGCTCCTAGTTGGAGAGATCAGAAAGTTCAAAGCCCCTTCTAAAACTTGATAAATCATTTTCTATTCCAGGATCTCAACTACATCAAAACAAATCAAGGATCTTGGCCAATAATGGCAACTAAAGTCTAGTTGAGGTTTAGCTTCAAGCTTCTAATTTATTTGCAAATGAGGGAGGGGGCATCAAAAAGAGCCACAAGGAGAGGTGGCTAATGAATTCATCATCATTACTATCAACAACAACAACAACATTTAAAGTAGACTCATAGGAGCACAGTATAGGTTAAGCATTCCTTAACCTATACCTATATTTCAGAATCTGAAATACTCTAAAATCATCCACACAAATGGCTGAGACAGTGACCCCTTTGCTTTCTGATGCTTCAATGCACACCAATCTACAAATAGGTTCTTGTGGGTTTTTTCGGGCTATAGGGCCATGTTCTAGAGGCATTTCTCCTGACGTTTCGCCTGCATCTATGGCAAGCATCCTCAGAGGTAGTGAGGTCTGTTGGAATTAGGACAATGGGTTTATATATCTGTGGAATGGCTGGGGTGGGGCAAAGAGCTCTTCCCTGCTGGAGCTAGGTGTGAATGTTTCAACTGATCACCTTCATTAGCATTTGAAGGCCTGGCTGAGCCTGGGAAAATCGTTGAGAGGTGTTAAGATGTGCCTGGTTGTTTCCTCTCTGCTGTTTTGCTGTTGTAATTTTAGAGTTTTTTAATACTGGTAGCCAGATTTTGTTCAAAACAGCAGAGAGGAAACAACCAGGCACATCTTAACACCTCTCAACAGGGGATTTTCCCAGGCTCAGCCAGGCCTTCAAATGCTAATGAAGGTGTCAGTTGAAACATTCACACCTAGCTCCAGCAGGGAAGAGCTCCTTGCTCCACCCCAGCCATTCCACAGATATATAAACCCATTGTCCTAATTCCAATAGACCTCACTACCTCTGAGGATGCTTGCAATAGATGCAGGCGAAACATCAGGAGAAATGCCTCTTGAACATGGCCCTATATCCCGAAAAAACCCACAAGAACCTAGTGATTCCAGCCATGAAAGCCTTCGACAATACAATCTACAAATATTTGTAAATGTCCCAGTTTCTCTCTCCTTGCCTTCTCCCATCATCCTCAGCTTATTCCAGCTCCTGCAAATAAGGTTCAAAGTGTTACTTTTAGATGTATATGAAGCATAAATGGATTTTCCGTCTCGTTTCCAAGATATGTGCAAACATGGGGAATCCAAAAAGAACCCTTCTGATCCCATGGCTTCCAGGTAAGGGATGCTCAATGAAAAGGCAAAGCAAACCTAGGGAGGCCAAGGTCTTTGATGATACCATGAAAGAGTGGTCAGTCGCTGGCACATTAATGGAGCTGGATGGCTACCATCC